GAAAACAAAATTAAAAAATCAAGTACCTGACATCTACTTTATATTACGAGAACAAATTGACATATTTGCGTTTCGTTATTACACAATTTTGAGTAAAATTTGTTTTCTTCGTAATTAAATTAAAACGCATTTTCAGACATCTAAAAACAGTGTAATATATTCAAGCTTAACCCCAACAAGCCTCCTAGACTAAAAACATTGTCAAAATCAAGTACCGGATGTCTATAGCCAACCCTTAACATCCTCTAATTGTAAACCACTATACCATAATAACCATTATAATTTTGTAAAAATCTACATTATATAATAACAACCAATAATAGTCTTATGATGTAAAAATCTCCAGTCATAACTATTTTTCATATCTTCAGATATATTAGTACTTATCTACACTTTTCATCTGTTATTATCATTGACATCTTATCATAATGTAATTATTGTCGAAATCTCCGTATTTAAAAAATATAGGTTGTAAAAGGTAAACGTATTAGAAGCCTTTCAAATTATTTTTATGTAGGTAGTAAATTGTAATTTTGGAAAAGTACTGCCACCAGGGCGATGTCACTTTACGGAAGGAGGTTGAAATATTCGACAGATTTTATGGCTATTAAATAGTATTTTATATAAATTAGATTAGAAATGAATAAACCAAACTACGGATATTGCTAAAAGTAGAACAATTAATCTTAAATCGTTGTATTATCGGATCCACAACTTAAATAGCATTTAAATAATGTATGTAGCTACTAAGAAAGGTAGGTACTTACCAGTAATTAAAACGAACTGAAGCCAGCGGATTACAGCGCGCCCGGAAAACTCCGCAGAGTGCCATCAGTTAAAAATTTCAACTTAAGATTTCGCACTCACGATCAATTTTTGGATTTACGTCAGTTCGACTGAGCAGTTTCAACTGACAGTGCGACCGAAAAAATCCGTGGGTTGTCGTGAGTTGAAAATTTCAACTTAAGATTCCACACTCACGGTCAGTTTTTGGATGTACGTCAGTTCAACTGATAATTTTAACTGACCGTGTGTGGCGTCCATAAGGGCTCTTCAGCAAGTGTACAAGCACGTTGAAAATGAAAAGCTGGAAAAAATATTTTCTTTGTTCTATTTTGTTCATTAAAATATCTGATGCGGTAATTCATGGTATTTCCCAAAGATTTCTATGTATAGATACTACAGTAGTATTTGGTATTTAACTCATTTATTTTGACGTCAGCTCTTATTTTTTGCTGACTACTTCACAAAAAAGTTGTAAACAGGAAACTTAAACCTATTAAATGCTTTTTTGACTTTTTAATTTGTCGCCTCTCACAACACCCACATAAATTATGGGTAGTAGATATTCTTAAACCGCCACTACATGGTCAATTTTATTAATAATAATTTTTATTTTTATTTTGGTGACATTAAAAATAATAGGGTATCAGTCAGCGTGTTTAATTTGCAACATTTTTCAAAATTTGACGGCTCCATGGCGCAGTGGCTTGACAGCAAGTTGCAGTGCTGAGGGCCGCGGGTTCGAATCCCGTATGGAACAAGTATTTGTATGGCATACAAATAATTGTTCCGGGTCTGGATGTTTGTCATTGTGCAATTAATGTCTGTAAACTGCCTCCATAATACAGGAGAAAATCGTAGTTAGTGGGTAATTTTTTTTATTACTATTGGATAGTGTACCTTTTAATCTCGGTATAGCTCACGAAAACTCGTTTAGAGAATACATAGAAGTAGGAAAATGTATTATGATGATGATGGAATCACAGACTAGGGAATATGCAAATCATACTTGCATAACAGGTATAGGTTTTGGAGTTAAAAGCTAAGTTTAAAGTTCACATCCTACTTACCTATTAGTATTATGTCATTATGTCCCACTACAGTAAAACATTTGCGCTTAAAGTGTTTTCTCGTGATTATGTGGCGTTAGATACATATTATATTGTATATGTAGTATTGCAAGAAACATATAATAAAGACAATTTTACTAAATTAATAATGAAATTCCTAACTTATACCTAAGCTAAATGTATTTATTTAAAACATAAAAGATTTTTAATATTGATATGGTCACAGTAAGATGTTGTTAGGTTAGCTAATTACGTAATAAATTAAGACAGAAGGAACCTTAAGTAGGAACTGAATAAATTAACCGATTTTTTTATTACATGGATCTTATAAATTTTTACGATAGAACAACTGAATTGCGAGACTTGTTTTTTTACAAGTTATTTTTTGATGGAATTTAGCATATTTTCTAGTGATATAGCATGAATAAAATCAGCTTAGCATACATATTTTTAACGTAACGTACCGTGTAAGTAGAAATAAGATTTTGCTGCTACTGTATCATCGTCCAAATTATAGTTTCAAATGATATTTGTATATGATGGCGTGATTTTATGGCAACAGATTGTGAAGAATTTTGAAAAAGAAATTATAAATCGTACGCGTTCAATTACCAAAGAACAAAAAAGTTTGAAAAAAAGAACGTTTTGGTTTCCTTTACAACGTTACACTGTTTTAACTACAGAGTAATTTTTGCATACCTGAAAGTTTTAACTATCACAAAGGTAACTGCCATTTATCATAATATGTAGGTAGTGGCTATACTACATATAGTATTGTTAACTTTTAGTTGATTATTCCTCAAATTTTACAAGTGTAAACTACACTATAGTATGTGCCAAGTCGATTGAGAAAAACGGACAATGACCTCAGATATGAGTCGAGTGACAAAAAGTGTAACTTACAAAATCTCAATTTAGATGTGATAACAGTATTTAAATATTGATATTATTCACACTTCAAGGTCAGCACTTATGTTTTTTTTGTTTCTTAAATAATATTGTCTGTGGTTCCTATAAAATCTTACGGTACATCGCGAAAATGGGTTATATTTTATATTTCAATTTATGGCGTGTAGCGCAGAAATTCATTTAATAACTGTTTCATATAAAAAAAAATTGAAGAAATATAATCACCATATTGAGCTTTTGCAAATTCATCCCTTTAAAATAAACAAAACGCGCGTTACGTCAGTTCGTTCCAAAAGAAACGTGACAATGGCAGCCAGAGATGCGTCACCTTTTTTTGGCCGGTCCGCATGCACCGAATACGTACGTACGTACGTAATATTGACGACTCCGTGGCGCAGTGGCTTAGCAATGAGTGGCTGCGCCAGGGGCCGCGGGTTCGAACCCCGCACGGAACAAGTATTTTTAAGGTCTATAAATAATTGTTCCGGGTCTGGATGTTTGTCCTTGTGCAATTTATGTTTGTAAACTGCCCCTGTGACACAGAAGAAAATACCATACCATATAGTAAGGGTAACGTTTAAAAAAGAGATAAAAAAAGTTCTTATATAATACTTATTGAAAATAAAGTTTTATCTTTTGAATCAAACTTTATTTTCAATATTATATATTAGTACGTAATGATTCGGTGTCGTTATCACTTGAATCTTTATATGTCTTATAAATTAATACTTTTTGTTGTCAAATGAATAAAGTACTTTATAACAATAGATGATTTTTCTTCTACAGCGATCTTTTAGATAGCTTTTTAATAATACTTAATAAATATATATATAATATCAATCATTATAAAATAATTAATAAAAAAAATCATTATAAATAAAGGAAGTACTACATATAAAATGTGCCTAATATATTGAAGGTTTGTAACCCCTGGTTTTTTCAATTTATTTATAACAAGAATGATACATGAATTAAATATATTTAACTTGCAAAAACCGTGAGGTTTGTCCGCAAGTTACAGTTTATAAGTGGTAGAGCCATGCTGCAGTTATATTAGTAAATTCTTTGTTTGTTAGAGACCTTTTGTCTCTTGGTGTTGATTGGTACCTGGGCGTGTCTCTCTATCTTAAAAAAAAAGCTCACACAACCACCGAATGGTCATTGTCCGTTTTTCTCAATCGATTTGGCACAGACTATTGTAAAATGTGTTATTTATAGTTTATAGAACGAGTTAACTAGGAAAATCTTACAAAGTGGAGATCATATATTATATTTTATAATTGCACGTTCCGTCCTTGTAAAATTGATTGATTTTTGCCACATTTACTGCATTCATTTTAATTAAATCAGAATTTGCGCGCTCATTCTCAATTTGACAAGATAAAAGTGATAAAATCTTCCAAAATCGTATGTGTATGCAGTTTTAAATTAAAAGATTTTGGAAGATAATCTCTAGGAGATTTAACATCTTTAAGTTTCTCGACTCCACAGAGTCAGTAGGTAAAGTTAGTGTATACGCCATTACAACAAAGTCCCAGAAAATATACAAGGTCTCTCTATTACCAAATTTAAAATTTTTATTAAACAAAAACCAGATAAAAAAGGATATTATCATATAAATTAATACATGATTAATTCAGTTGCTAAAAGGCTGTAAAACAAATTTTTGACTAAGTAATTTAGTATAGCACTTTTTATGCATTTTCTGTAAACTTTAGAATGTTTTTGGCATTTTCTGAACGCAAATTTGGTATTAAATATTTTTGAGCCTATTAAATACTTTTGAGCCCATAACTGCTTTGGTCCTTTCAGTTTCGGTTATGTCAAGCCCCGCTGGTGGCAACACTGATGACTGATATTTTAAGTGATGGTAATAATCGTAAATCTACTAAATCTATGGTATGGCCTAAAGGTCTAGATACCAGGCCATAAAGTAAACTCCAAAAAAAAAAGACTATGGTAATAATAAAGTGGTAAAATATTTTTGTTCAAATCAAAAATTTATCATCTTTTGCTTTTAGATTTAGCGACAGTTTATGAATAAAAGATGACATTTGGTATTATTATCATTCATCAATTAATTAATAAACATTTAGAAAACATGTACATAATAAAAATACTTACTTAGAGTGAAACATTCTGACATTCGGTAAAGACAAGTGCCATAACTCTACTCGCGCTTTGAACAAATAGAAATAAACTATTATAACATATTTTAATATAATATTTTATTTTCAGAAACCGACGAAATGGCGCTAATACTACAGTATATAAATGATATGCACGTTTTCATGGACAAACATGGAGGTAATATTTTTGTTACACTAGAATTAGTAAATAAACACCTATAATTTAAAATAATAAAAGATCGAACATATAAAAACTACTTTTGAGATACCTACCTATTGATGTTAGGTTTCGTGTTCCGTAATAACGGTTTTGCCTTAATGGCTTAAGAGAATCTCACCTAATTTAGTGTCTGATGTCATTTAAAGGCAACTATGGGATAAGTCCGAATGATCTCATAGCTACTGATTAATTGCAATATACCCATCTTGTTTACTCCAGGTGTAAAATACCCAGACTGGCAATGGAGAGCAAAATCAAGTGTGAGAATTCTGGATCTGTTATCGCCAGTCTACTTAACAAGTGTATATCTTACAATGTGAGAGGCCTATGTCCAACAAAAATTTTTTACAGGCTGGTGAAAAAAGAAGACAACAGCTTGCTTAGATGTGTATTTTTATTGATTATAAACCTTTTTTAATGGAAATATAATTACTTATACTCTAATAAACCCTAAGGATCCATTATAGTTTGACCTGAGTATTAGTTCAATTCTTTCTGCATGGTTCTATCCTTTTATGTTTAAAAAAATATTGCACATTAACAATTTAAGAGGTACAGTTAATCAGACTAGTTACTCGCCTCTGGTATGCTTATATTCTTATGACTGGGCAAAAAACCCTTCAACATTTCTCAATTATCCTTACAATGATTATTGAGATATAAATGAGTTATACAGTACAACTTTGATTTAACAAATCTAAAAAGGGTAAATTTGAAAGTTAAAGTACCAGTGATACCTTTTATTGGAAACAAGGCATTCCATCTTAGTCCTCAGGGGTGACAACACATCTACATTTGAATCTTTATTGAAGATAGATGTAGATGTTCAAAGGCTGCAGCATTGAGTTACCATCAGATGGACTGTGCACTTGCTTATCACCCTTATGGTATAAAAAAGCTAAACCAGGAAATATGCAGCAGCATCTTCCTAATTACAATTAAAAGTTATAAAAAAAACTGTAGTTGCCAACCCTTCTGCCAAGTGTGACAACTTTGGCAAAATCCAATGATCTATTTTAGCAGTAGGCTTATAATTATATATTACAGGAAATGGCTCATCGTAAACTAAACAGTGGGCTTTTGTAGGCTGTAATAGATGAATGGTTAGAAGGACTATATGTCTTCTGTTGAATTTTTATATTTCTCTCTTGCAGATCCTCGGACTAATAATTGGTTCCTGATGAGTTCTCCATTTCCAACATTATTAATTTGTTTGAGTTATGTCTTTCTAGTCAAGGTAAATAAAAACATTGGCATTTTTTATATTAAAAACTATAATATGTTGTAGAAGATAATAGTGTCTTTCCATATATACGAAAATAACCCTGGAAATAATAAGCGACCTTTAAGGCCATGAGCCCATATACACTGATATTTCATTGGTTAAACATAGTCCAAGTATCTGCTTCTCTTTGGACTCTGTCTACCCCCTTGGCTATTACAGGTGTGACAATATGTATGTATTAGACATATGTCATTCATTAATTTCTTGTGACCCAATCATTCAAGTATTGATTCATCTTATGAACCAGATCATTCGGGTTGACCTTTCAAACAGATTATTTCGAGTTTCAGTGAGTAATCTATGAGACCTGCTCGATAATGTCGGTCATCGGACACTGCTATACTCTTTGTCGTAGGTCCTGTCAATTGTTTGATCCGAAACATGCAAAAAATATAAATGCAATCATCAATATTTGATGCGATCCGGGTCAAATAAACAAATCATTCACAATTGATACTTGTCTAGTATGTATACATTGTCTATTAGTGTTACCCACAAATATTATCATAGCACCCGTATGGATGGCATTGTTATTATGCATATTATTGATAAGTTAATGATTTCAACAATTTTATACACTTGAGAATTAGAATTCACTTCATATATATTTGTCCAAACTACTGTTGACTTTATACTGTAAGATATTATAGAATTAATACTATCTTTGTACTATCTTTTTCAGGTTTTAGGACCCCGATTTATGGAAAATAGAAAACCATATGAATTAAAAAATGTTTTAATAATATACAATTTTCTACAAGTAATATTCAGTGCATGGTTATTCTATGAGGTAAGAAACTCTATTTATTTTGGATTGACATAGAAATATAATAATTTAAATATCTTAATTTAAGTCTAGGAGCTTAATTTTATTAATCAATTTGACTCTTATTAATAATAAGAGTCGAATTAATAAAAATTGTAAACAGTAAATAATTCCATGGCATCTCTCTGAAGTTAAGGGGGAGCCCAAACGTAGATAGAGGCTCTTCTACAACGCTTGAAGGCACCCCTAATAGAACTATGTAATTAAACAATTGCTTACCCTACTAGGTATCTTACAAATTATATGCCTAAGTAATTGATGAGTAATATAGTAAACCTTTGTGTAAGGAGCTGTTAAATAGAACAATTTTCATAATTATGATTGCCTATTTTATTACTTAGTATAGAAGACATAATATTATCTTTTTGGTGTGATTTAATTAATTTGCAAGCTGCCATGATACTATCTCCCTTGTTCAATTGATAAAACACAATAAATCTCGAGTTTTTATATACCTACTAGAAGATTTTATTTACTATTATTTTTTTATTCTTAGTGTGAGTTACTTTTATTTATGCATAGAAAAATATTATTAAATGATTACTTATTGTTCTATGTTATGTTTGTCTGTGTGTATGTATGTTAACACTATTACAAATTACTAAAGCAAGCAACTATCTAATCAACTAAGTTATCTTACCCAAAGTTTAGATTAATGCTTTGGAAGATCTCTATTGAAATTTGTTAATGAAATCTTTATTGTTTATAAGATATCAACGAAAGTCAATTAACTTTTTAGAATTTTCCATCAAGCCTCTTTCGTATCATTAAAGTTTTTATTTTGTTTCTATTTGTGAATATTCATTAACTATTTGATAATTCCATTAAAGAACGGAGCTTGCTGGCTGCGAGGGTAGTATACCATGTGCATTATATGTGAACATAAGTTTCATACATTATAGGATTATAACTTACACAAGCTGTGCATGTATCTGGTCTGCTATGCTCTAAAACCAGACCCGATAAAGAAACAAAAGACATAGCAGATAACACCAACTGCAAGGCACAATTTTTAAATCACACTTCAGATTTTTAGAAAGTATGTTTAAATATTATTGCATAGGCATGCCGATTTCCCTAATGTTTTTAGTAGAACAAAATATAAAATTGCCTTAGGGATAATGCGGCACTTATTTAAGACATTCAAAAAATTTTATGTATGCCCTATTTTTTAGTATACAATATCTATTATGTGAAATAAAACAGATCATTATTTTACCAAGGGAGTGTTCATGTTTAATTGAAAAAAATGGCTCTTGTATCTTAATAGTTGCAATGTCTAGAATTGCCAGGCTAAAAGTTAGAAAACCAGGTCTTGACATTAAGAGGGCTGATTGTCTACAGTTGAATATGATACTGATCAAAAATTTTCAGGTCCTTTTTTAAATGCATCATAGAATATGATTCAGTCACCAATTAGTCTGTTATAATTTTTCATTCTGTATTATACTATGTTATTGTAATATTAACAACTTCCCTATTTGCTAAAAAGACACTATAATTAAACAATTGAAATGTTCATATATGACTCATGGGGCAGAGAAATGGTTAACTTTGAAAGAATGTCAAAAACCTGTAAAGTTTCTTTCACCATTTATTCTGTGGTCATGGGCACTTAATTTCAAAACTGTAGTGGATTTGTCTGTCCTAATATTTCAAAGTTACAACTGCCCTTAATTTAATTAACCTCAAAAAGAAATTATTGGACAAACCTATTGTATATATTTATGTATAAAAACTACTAAAGAACATTGCCAGGTTCTTACATTTATTATCTATTGCATGTACTGAATAAAAATATTTGTATGAAATAAATATTTTAATTCTATTACATAAACATTTATCCAGGTAGAGATTTCTAAGATAACATAGCCCACTCCTCTAAATTACTAAAACTTCTGCCCCATTGGCTGTCAGTTCTTCTAGCTATATGGTCTGTCCACTGTCACTTCAACTTACAAATTCGTTGTGCTATGTCGGTTACTCTCGTTATACTACGGATGTCCACATTTTAAGTCTATCATACAGAGAAACCCCAAGCATAGCTCACTCCATTGCTTGTTGAGTGACCTTGGGCTTCTGTATACGACCTACAGTAAAGGTCTATGTCTAGGATCCACAAGTCATCACTGGCAACATGCACTGATTGTATAATCTTGTTTTCAATTTTTGAGGTAAATATACCTGACGAGAATATGTGTCGTATTCTCCCGAGCGCCAGCTGAGTTTAATCTGTCGATTAAGTTGGGCTTACCTAGTCGGACTATTTGTCCCAGGTAAACATACTCGTCAACAACTTTGAGTGTAGTGCTCCCAATAACTACTTGGCAGGTGTGACATAGATGTTACATGTGACCTCTATTTTATCCATGTTCATCTTAACACCTATCCATTAGGGGACACTATTGAGGTCATTGAGCTAAGTGCTTAGGACCTCCAGCGATTCTCCTATAAGTACTATACGTCGGGAAATCGAAGGTGAGTGATGTACTCGCCATTGATGTTAACACCGTATCTTTTCCAGTTGTGGAAACTTCTTCCAATGCAGCGATGAAGAGTTTCGAGGATATAACATCACCCTGTCTTACATCTCTCTGCAGTTGGATAAGTTTCGTATTTTAATTCTGTACTCAGATAACCATCGTAGCCCTACTGTACAAACACTTCAGCACTTCGATATACCGACAGTGAACTTGGCACCGCTGAAGGGACTGTAGCACCGCTGAAATTTCGACGGAAACAAAGGCTTTCTCATAGTCCACATACACAAGGCAATGCGACAGATTTTTCTGAAATCTATGGTATTAAATCCTTTTTGAAAACCGGTTTGTTCGAGAGGCTGGAATCGTCGAGTCTGCGTGTGAGATGATCCGTATAGAATAACTCTAAAACAGCATGTAGACCCGGCTCAAAAGGGAAATCGGTCGGGACTTCTTCAACAGAACGTTGCCGCATTTCATGTAGATGAATTTTTTACGTGATGTTAGCATAGCTGTAGCATAAATGGGTCGGCTCGACCGGGGAAGGACCACGCTCTCACAGAATACCAGCGTAAAATAGTGGCTTAATGCTGCTGTGTTTCGTACGGTGAGTGTAGAGAACCGGAGACCCTTTTTACTGGAAATGACGCATTCCATCTTAGTCCTCACAGGTGACAACGCATCTGCATTTTGATTCGTAATCGAGGATAGATGTGGATGTCGATGGGCCACAGCAACCACTTATCATGGGCGGACTGTGTGCTCGTTTGTCACCCTATCCTATAAAAAAAGGACAAGGCCACCACACTTTGCTCCACTTCTCTGAAGTAGTGCCACCATAGGACGGAATTAAATAGCTTCTAAAGGACTTTAAGAACTGGTTTTCCACATGCTTTCAGAAGCACTGCTGTAATTCCATCCTCGCCGGAGGCCTAACTTTTTTAAAGTTGCTGGAGAGCCCTTCTAATCTCGCTTAGCCTGACGTCCAGCACGAGGGAGATGGAGCGTTGACTTCATTAGACTTAACTCCTCCGACTTAGCGTTTAGGTTCAGTGTGCCTCTCACCATTCGGTGATCGCTGCCAGTTTTCACTTTATACAATTTAATAAATGACTATGAAGGGGAGGCCTGCCTTCACCATAGTATTGAGTAAGATCTCTACTAAACTCACCAAACTTCTTTTACAACTAGATACACACACCCACACACACACATTTTATTGTACAGGGTTATTTTTTAATAACCAGCCAAATTTGCAGAGAAGGCTCAGAATAAGTAATATAGGCAAATGGTGAAGAAACTTTTAATTAAAAAAAATCTCAAACATTGACCTTTTTATCTTTTAATTTCAAAATCTGTGGTAATGCATTATTTTAACTGATTTTACTGCGCACGCACACATTCGTAAGGGTCGATCGGTAGGCAAAAATGTTGTTGCCCATAAATCACATTCAATTTGGGATAATTTCAAATAAAAGAAGAGAAGCCTTATTTACTCATATTTTCAAAAACTGCAATAACGGTATATCGTTATTTATGTATTTGAACTTATTTTTAAAATTAGGCTACTGTTTTAAAAATAACCCTGTATATACTAAATATTCTTTTTTCTTTTTTGAGCTACTGCAGCAATCTATTATTATATAACAAAATGCAACATTCGTCCAAATGCAAACTTCACTTCAAGCAAACTGCAAATTGTTACTATACTGTTGTATTGTTATATAAAACACAGATAAAGACTATTGCCACGTCGCATTTCAAAAAAAAGATCTGTCGACCCATTTATAAGTTGTTACGCAAGGTCACAGAAATTCACTCAAAGCATAAATACAAACATAAATTAATATCTCTTTTTGTTGGGTCCGTAAAATTAACAATACAATATTTATAAATGTATTCTTACCAGACAGTAATTATTAGGGATGGGCCGAATATGGATTTCACCGAATACGAATATTCGGCCGAACGTTCGGTAAAATTTTTACCGAACCGAATATTCGGCCGAACATTATATCATAATAATTACTAATTATTATGATTAATGCTGTTTAAGTCAAAATCTTTTCCATTAGAAATATAAAGTATAGATTATTTCATTTGGAGTAAATGAAATGTAAATCGAAAAGAGAAGCATATGTATTAAGTGATGATCATAAAATAATTTTGTTTTAAAATAATACACCCAGAGCTTGATGGGGGGCTGGCTGAAGCATTACAGCTTAAGATGCCAACCGGTGGACTACTCTGACAGTCCTGTAGCCACTAGAGTAAGTGAAGAATGTAACCATTACATCCTACAGCGATACGAAAGCAAAATAAACTAACCCGATTTCATTGTAAATAGACATCGATCATGTTATTATTTTCAGGACTCCTGTACATATTATTATGTTATAGTTATAGGGTTTATGCGAAATAATTTAGTATATTATAAACTATGCCTAGTACTTACAATAGGTTTAGTAGATATAATACTAACACAAATTTGGGTTGGTGCGTACGCCAGAGTCAAACAAATTGTCTCTCATGTGTACATATGTTGAACATGAATATTCTAGTTGTATGTCATACTATTTTCCGGTATAAGGTGATTAACCCGTCAATCTACTGGAATGACTACAAGCCATGCATGCGTTGGCAAGCGCGTTATAAATACAAATATCACAGGGCCAGGTGTCGGCATATTGTTTCAGATTGGGGCCGCTGGCTGGTTCACAGGCAGGTATAACTTTCACTGTCAGCCGGTCGACCACTCCAAACATCCACAAACAATAAGGGTGAATTATAAGTTCTTCCGTTATTATACTGTTGAACCCTAAACGTCCTCAGTTTCACATTTGTTTTACTTACACCAACACCTTCCTCACCTTCATGCTGGGACTGCCACCTAAATTTGTTTCAGAATAATCTTACTTAATGTAAACAGTACAGTAAGATTTTTGCTAAAGCGCAATATTAAAGAAACTTATTCTGTAGTTTAGTTTGAACAATAAAAAGATTTGTAATACTTCTGAAAAGTATTTTATATTCATCAAGTCCTGGTTTATAAACCGCGCTGATCGTTTTTAACAAATTTATTTTCGCTTATAAAACTTAAATTAATTGATGATATTTCTGGCGTTACTTTGATAGTAATTATTTTAATATGAAGGTAGCAGTCCTTACACCTCTACTATCCGCACTTAATTTTAAAAACAACTCTTCCAAATGTTATTATAATTTGTTATAACGGGCAATATGTGTGTGATTTTTGATTATGAAACTTTTTAATTTGTATTTTCCCTCGCAGATATCTGCCTATCTAGCCCCTCAATCTAAGTCAGAATCGTTAATTAGCTTTTATCATACGAGTTATCATAATTCATTTCATGACTTGCAATCATCAAGATAAACAAATGTACCTGTTGATGGATCAAAAGCTTTGTAATTACATATCAATTAAAATAATGTTGTGACACTATATATTAAAACTATAAATCACTACTGCATATTGGTTTTTCTTTAACTTCATAATATCTAATCAGTGTTTGATGTTTTTAATCCATCATGTTATGAGTTTATTATAACATTATTAACCGAAACACATTAGTTTGTAAAAATTTCGCTCGCATAATTCTGCATAAAGCATCTTGTAATCTAGAATTATCTTAATCTTAGCACGACCCTGTCGTATAAAATTAGCTTATTTGCACGTTATTTATTATGTATTGCAGAAGTCTTTTAGTTAGCTTTATGTTAACATATTACAATAAATATAAGATAATTTTTTAAACAATTTTTCCATACGTATTTTAACTTGCATAATAAAAATAAGGAAAACCTATTAAATGAATATTTCACATGAAAATTAAATTTATTAACATAAAACTAATTAAAGACCTTATGGCTGTTTATATATGCATAAATTTTATTGTTTACCTTTTCTGTTAAAAACATGTTAGTTATTTTTTTTATTTCACAATAAAAAACATTTATTTGAAATAATACATAACAGTGACTATTTTAATGATATACTAATTATTTCTATACATTTCCAGATGGTACATGCTTGTTGGTGGTATTATTTCTCAAAATTTACGGAATTTTTTGATACGGTAAGATTTTATTTATAGATGTTATGCATTAATTAAACATTATATTTACTAGCTTGCCAGGCAGACGTTTTTCTGCCCTTTTCGACGACAATTTGTGTATATATATATAAATTACGTGTCACGTTGTTTGTCCGCGATGGACTCCTAAACTACTTAACCGATTTTAATCAAATTTGCACACCGTGTGCATTTTGGTCCAACTTGAGAGATAGGATAGTTTTTTGCCCATGAGTGACCCACAATTTTTTTGTTGCGAATTTAAGGATTTTTAATAGGACATGCCAAAGGGTCGTCGAAAAGGGCAGAACAACGTCTGCCTGGAAAGCTAGTTTATATATATATTTTTTCCTGTACTTTAATTGCTATATATATATATATATATATATATATATATATACATATAATATGTAAGATTTAAGGGTGATAAAAAAATGTTAAAAAGTTATTTAGGACTTGCACTGACTGTACATGTTTTTACACTCCATATGAATACTTTTTATTTATATTCTAAAACAATTATTGTAATTTTTTCTTTGTTTCCAGATCTTCTTTGTTTTAAGAAAGAAATTTGATCATGTATCAACATTGCATGTCATCCACCACGGAGTCATGCCAATGTCTGTGTGGTTTGGAGTTAAATTCACTCCTGGAGGTCACTCTACGTTCTTCGGGTTGCTGAATACCTTCGTACATATAATCATGTACACATACTACATGTTGGCAGCAATGGGACCTCAAATGAGAAAGTTTTTGTGGTGGAAGAAATATCTCACAACACTACAAATGGCAAGTTTTACCAATAATGTTTATTAGTTTTACAATGACGTTAATTAAATTATCGTATTTAATGTTGAGGCAGCACCGAATAAAGGCCGTATAGATTAGCACTATTAATATGTTATATAGCACACAAAAGCCTAGTCACAGTTGCCATCAAAAGATGCTGAACAAAAAAATTATATATGTGATTTGCAACTGAAAACTTCATGTGTTAGGGGTTTTTCAGGGGCGATATCGTAACGAGCAGATTATTTGCAGAAAATTACGGCTTTAGAAAGATATTCTTTATTTAGTGCTCTATAACGGCGGTTTTAATGACGGTTTTTTAGAGCGAAGACAATCCCTCCATAGCGTTTTACGAAAATAAGCGTCAGAGTTATCTTTCAGGTCGAATACAAATACTTTATTTTAAGCGTTATTATGATAGAATATTTAGTCTTCTAGTGCAACACAAAGTCTAAATTACGAAAATATTCCGATTTTCACTTCAATATCATTTTTTTCTGTGCATTTGGATATTAATAAACTTATCTATTTTAATTATTTTATCAAAATACAGGTAATGTTTAATATCCTAAAAAAATTTAGCTCGTTTTATTTAGTCAATTATTTTATATGGTTATTTTAAAAATACTATAAATCATAACGTACAAACGGCGTCCGAATCAGTACGCTCCGAGTCTCCGATTTTCAAACTCCTGGTCCTAATTTTTACTAATCTTCTTGTTTGTATTTTCATCGATCATTTTGACAGTAAAATACAATATATCTGTATGCTGTTACTACATTAAAATACTTTTACTTTGACAATTTAATATTTTCCCACCAAGTTTGAGCTAAATAGGCAACATCAAAGTTAAACTTTGCGCGTAATGTGTTGGCATGACAAGATACAGATATCAATTCGTTTATTTTCTCAATGCCTGATGCCTATCGGCGGGTTGCGCTATGTATCAATGTCTTTAATTTGACGATCATTTAATATTTCATTCTATTATTATTACTTAGTAATCAGTACAGTACCTGACTTACATGCTGCTGTATAGATAAGTAAGTACATTACATTTAGTTAAATGCAAGTCTTGTGGAAAAGTCCTTCCACTAGACAATTTCTTCAATCGGTTGTAGGTACTGTTGTTTTAAATAAATAAAGTAACATTATACGTCCGATGCAAGGATTTTATATAGGCTATCAATGTGTGAGGTATTAAAACCGTTTGATTATGCATGAACATGTACTTTTTATATTGAAAAATGCCGTTTTTTAAAGGGCTTTTTGAAGTGCATAAGTTGTGAGTTCATAACATTTATTACTATTTTCAGAAAGTTCAGAGTCTGCAACAATGTTTGGATGAAACATTCGTTCATTTGATCAGTCCTAAATAATAATTATGAAACACATCGCGAATTGTGCCGAAAAGACCAGTATAACTAATAGCGACCACAATGGCTACAAAAAATCTGCTTTTTGTAGCTATTGTAACTGTCCGATTTTAAAACCAAATTTCCGATTTTGACCCGGCCACACTACGGGACACAAATGAAAGCGCCACCGCAGAGTAAATAATAGAACGCGCTACACAACACAATGTATGATTAATTGATATTGTTTATGTAATAATCAATAATTTTATACGTTTATTTACTTAATAGTAAGCAATCTATAATGATATATTTATATTACTGATATATAATATTACTATAAAATGTATATTTGACGGCTCCGTGGCGGAGTGGTTTAGCAATGCACCCGCACGGAACAAAAATTTGTATACCTACAAATAATTGTTCCGGATCTGGATGTTTGTCGAAATTATGTTTTTTTATGTCCCCACCATATACTTAACAAAAATTCTTAGTGTGGAGGTAACATTATTATAAAATAGAAACAGAAAAGTTATGAGCAATGGTAGCTCAAAGGTGAAGTGCTCGCCGTAAACACGAGCAACCAGGGTTCGATCACCGCCGACACCAATGAAATTGTTATTTTGATGAATGTTTATCTTTACATTATCAAACAGAAAAATGTGTATCAAGCAATATCTATTTTATATAATACATATTTTTCAATTCGAACATATATTATTTACCCTTTTCTTGTTTTTACCTTGACGTTGTGATATTGCTTAGTCTACTTAATAGGGTATAAAAGAAAAGCTGACTGCAACTTACTTAAAGAATAAAATAATTTATACATTAAGGGCTAGATCGAATATTAATTCTTATATACACTATGTCTTAGCACCGACCTCATAAGCTATTATGTGGAAATTATTTTATTCCTTTAGTTCCAATAGTATCAAGATGATTTGTGCTAGATACCACTAGTAACCTTGCGCTCGCTCCACCAGAGCGATTTCGACTTGCGCATATTTGAATTTACGCTCTTAAGTTTATAGAATGAACGGACAACAAACTAGCACACAGTCAACCTGATATGCTGTGGCCCATAGACACCTACATCTGTCCTCAATTAAGAATCATAGTGTGAATGTTTTATCACCCCCTGAGGCAAAGACATTTAAATATGTAGTATTAATAGACCGGACATCAGCAACAAAATTGTCGTCTATGACTTTTGTCCTATCGGATATATCTCCGATTTTTGTCATTTAGTCTAAATGACATCGTCGAAAGATCAAGATGCATTCGTTTCATAAAGGAGGATGGCCAAATCGTTATTGTTTAAGGTCTTAAAACACACTAGAAATACCACTCTAAGTAGCTACAAAAAAGTTATCCATTTGTTTCTATTTTTGTAACTGTTCAAAATTATTTCAAATAATAGTTTCAGAACGCACCTAATGACGATTCATTTCATGTGTGAAAGGACTTTGTATTCAAAGACTATAATTATTCACGTTTTTATGAATAGTTGTTAATTTTAATTCAATTCAATTAGTATGTAGACATCAAATCATCTACTATGCTGATTTATTATGTATTGGATTCTTGTCATAAAAATAATTATGTAGGTCATAGTGAGCTAAACGTTTTGTTCAATTACATATGTACAACGGAACGTCATTTATCATCGCTTACTCTGTGATCATCGATTCGCGTCAGTATTTTTAATGTTATGTCTTATTTCCTTCTGTTGTTTTGACCTCGGTATTGTTTTACGGACTGATTTTTTCACATCTTGGATAATTGTGAGAAACATCATGCAAACACAACAAAGACAACTAGGCGTGCGTTTCCTTTGTGTTAATTGTAACATATGCATTGATAAACTTCGCCACCATCTCGTTTTTGAGCTTGATACAAGAGTAATTTCGAAGATCTGCGAGTGGAATTCTTCAATAATAGTACGTATTTACATACCTACTTATTTTATTACACTAACATAATACATCATCATAATACAATTCTAATCAATCATACATCATCATACAACTCTAATTCTTATTTTAGATCACTGAAGAAGATTACGTATGTGATGCCTGTCAGCAATTGGCAATACAGCATGTCAACTCCGGGTTACCTAATGAACCTGGTGCCTCATCTTCCTGTGGCCACAAGCATATTTGCATACTTTGTGGAAGTTCTCTGAGGACTTGTTTGTTGTGAGAGAGAATCCATCTTAGTTGCAACAAGCAATACATGTTGAGCTTGAAAATAGAATTGACCCACGGCAGGTAATAATTACCTTTTTATTTTGTACTTTTTTTTGTTTTGTCTTGGTATCAATGTTATAGTGAATTTATCACTGCAATTTTATATTGTTTTGTAAAAGTGTTTCTATTTGCTCGGATTTAATAATAATTAGCCAAAACATTTATATTAAGACAAGGCTGTATGGTTGTTTCAGGCAACTTCAACAGACCATGTTTGTCATCCCTGTTGGCTGAGACTCAAGAGAGTTGCAACACGTAATATGCAGCAGACAGAGCCAGAGCTGGAGCAGGAGCCAGAGCCTCAACCCCAAGAACCTCAAAGCCCACCAAATACCGACCAGCAAGATGACGAAATACCTTGGGTGATTAGTTTGCCGCAGTATAGACGAGCGGCAAACACTGCAGCACATTGTGTTTTTTCTGGTTGCCAGAACACAGATTTGCATAGAATTTCTGACACTCTAAGAGCAACAACTCTTAGCAAACACAAATATTACTTGCCTATAAATGCTCGTATTTGTGTAGAGCATACATTTAGTACTTACTGATTGGGATATGTTGTTCAATTCTCAAAATAGTTTGAGAACATTTACGGCTGAACAAGTGGAACATGCTCTTTCTTTTATAAATGCTTTCAACACATTTCTTGATTTCTTGAATATGGAAAGTGTTGAAAGAATTGATGAGCATTTGTTTCATTATTGGCTCGGAATGAATAAACAACAATTTGAACTTTTACTATATGAAACACCCCGTCTTGTAGAAACAAATAGGGCATTTTAGGTTTAGGTGCTCTTCTAATGAAGATGAGAACTGGTGAATCAGATGGCCGGTTATCACAGTTATTAATGGTTCCAAGGCGAACATTAGAAAGATTAATGGATAAGTTTAGGGAAATATTGGTACAAGATTTTGTGCCTAGAAATCTGGGAATTGAACACATATCACGTTAGCAATTATTGTAACACAATTTAATGATTCCAATTGCAATTTATAATCAAAATAATGATAATGCGATAATTATATGTGATGGGACACATATTTTTATAAACAAAAGTTCCAATATGTTCCAAAAGGACACATATTCCTTACATAAATACAAAAACTTGTTAAAACCATTTTTGCTGGTGACACCTGATGGCTTGTTGACTGCTTTGGCCCATAAAAAGCTACCACAACTGATGCAGATATAATGAAGTCTCATTTCAGAGATGAGAACTCTCCTCTCAGACAATACTTTCAAAATAACGATGTTTTTATTCTAGACAGGGGATTTAGAGATTCAATTAGTTTGTTAGAGGCTTGCAGCTACAGAACATATATGCCAGAATCCCTGCTTGAGGGTGAACATCAGCTCACCACTGAGCAAGCTAACAGGAGTCGTTGTGTGACCATATGCCGATGGGTAGTGGAAGTTGTTAACGGGTACTTCAAACGAGACTTTAAAATATTTCGGCAAGATTTTTTTAATAAAACTGTTCCACATATGATGCATATGTTTTCCATAGCTGCAAGCATTTTAAATAAATTCGGTGTTCGATTAAAAAACAGGAATGATGCTGAGCAAATCATAAATGTGATTAGAGAATGATTTCCATTAAATAATAATTTATCTGATTTTATAAATAGTATGAATATGAATAGACAAACATCTGATTTTACTAATAGTACAGCTCATTCCAATACTAATATTATATTCCCCCATCTATAATATAGTGAAGTTATATTATTTGCCCTAGGAACATATCAAATTCAACAGGCAAAGTCCTATTATAGTGAACATGTCAGGTTTCATGGAGGGTATCGAATTGAAATAAGCAAAGAAAACATGAATGTAACAGACTATCGTTTGAGAGGAAGTGGAAATAATTCACTTATAAGAGGCAAAATCAAATCCATTTCGATCATCATTTCGAGAAAAGTATATTATGTTTATATATTAATTGAAAATAATTTGTCTGGAAGGGAAGCTGTAATAGAGTATTGTTGCAATTGTTTAGTTGATAGAAGAACAGTTGGGTGCTGTGCACATGTTATGACGCTTGTGTGGTATCTTGGGTGGGCCAGGCATCAGCCGACAATACACACGACAATCAGCATTCCTTGATGCTGTAGTTGTAAGAGAGGATGATTAATAAAAAGTAATTTACTCTTTTTTATAGAAATAAGATGACAAACGAGCACACAGTCCACCTGAGGACTGAGATAGAATGCATTGTTTCCATTAAAAAGGGTCTCCGGTTCTCTATGCTCACCATTCGAAACACAGCAGCATTAAGCTGCTATTTTAGTTTGGTTTCTATCATGGGCACAGCATCGAGATGAGGTTGATCTACCTGCATCTTTTTTATATGATATATTACTATCAAGTGATGATATTGAAAATACAGAATGATGATTATAACCTTAATGCGTATTAATATTGTAATATTAATGATGATTTTTGCCATAGTTGCTACACTTGTGGCAACCAAAGTTTTTTGTGGTATTCTATAGGAAGATGCTGCTGCTCATCTCCTGATATTTTTATTTTAATCTGTCGACTTTTACAACATCATATGGGACGGGGTGGCAATTAACGAAAGGCCTGTGTAATATTTTACATTATATATTTAGTTTAGGAGGCCTATGTTCAACAGTGGACTGTCGCAATGATGATGAATAATGATCAATTAAAATTGTAATGTTTGTTGTTTATTTTACCTATTTCAATTTTACTGTGTGCTTTTATTTTCTGTTATATATTATATGTGTAATTTATAAATAAACACCGAGCAAAGTTGAATTTAATGCTCTGGCACCCTTTTTATCTCTTTTAATCTCCTGATTTATAATAATATAAATAGGTAAGTATCTCTAGACATTATATTTTAATGATGTTTGGTATTTATACTTGCTAATAAATGAATACTTTAATAAACAAAGGACCCTCCAAAGGGTCTTTTTTTTAAGAAAGGACTTATAAAGTGCCGACGATTTTTATGATAATAAATGCAGTGATATTATACATGATGTTTGGGATTTATAGGACAGATGGAGGGTGCGATTTGAGAGATGCCTTATTATTGGGTGATAAATAATTGTTGTATGGTTCCACCAAATATTTTTATTTAGCAAACACTGCAACGTGCTTTAAGTCGCGTGTATGAAGTTATATTATTTGCCCTAGGAACATATGGATTCAACAGGCAAGGTCCTATTATAGTGAACATTTCAGGTTTCACAGAGGGTATCGAATCGAAGGACAGTTTGGTGATGTGCACATGTTATGAAGCTTGTGTGGTACCTTGGGTGGGCCAGGCATCAGCCGACAATATCGCCAGTGCCAACATCACTCCTTGAATTGAAATTGAATTTTGAAAAAGTAATTTTGTCTAGCCTACTTGTTTCATTAAAGTACTCCTAAATTCTACCATTACACTGCATTTATTCCCGTAACCTACCATTACTCGATTTTTCAATACATATGCAACTTTAGTATTGAAGACAGAGACAGTAGGTATCTAGCGACTAACTCTCTTCAGCTAGAATTAAAATGGTCAAACTACAAAAAAGCCTTGAAATCTTTTAGGAAAGACTTCGTGTGATAATAATGTTACGAGCTTGAGGTTCGTGACAATAAAAATTGCCGATAGAATTACCTAAATTAACACTTTAATTTTCTTTACACCAATTAAAACTTAAAACACTAAAAATTAATCACACTGATTCACTTTATTTCGCTCCGAAGCTTCGCTTGTCTCGCCGAATTCAATACTTCCCCCATCGCACCTTGCAGCGCCCATAAATACACATTACTAGTCGTACACTTTAAGAATGCCGTTACCTCCCGCCGCGCCCCCTCATTCCGCGCCTCAAGCGTCGCCCTTTTAGTACCGATAGCAACGTTGAAGTGTACTTACGTCCGTTTTTTATGCTCCCGTACGTTCTCTAGTTTGTTACTGTTTTTGCTGTTTGTTCTGTTGTTTTGTTGTTGTTTCAGTTGTGACAGTGACACAGAAACAAGCGATTTCGAAAATCTTTAATTTGATATATTTAAAATGTAAAATAAAACTATAAAAAATATTTTATTTTATCGAACACGTTATTATTTCATGATCATCATCATTCAAAAAATATTTTATTTCATCGAACACGTTATTATTTAACTTTATTGAAAATATGAATACTAAAAAACATAAACATGATGACTTTTTTCGTCTACGGTACCGTCAGCTGTGACGTCGTAACGGTCTACGACGGCAAACTCGAAATGAACGCGTAGTAGTAACGAATCATCCAGAACATTCAAGTAAATACGCGCACCAATCGACAAAGCGCCGAAAGTTCGAGAGTCAGCTTCCAGAAGCTTAGTTCTTCGTTTCGACAGCAGATGGCGCTGTCGGTTGAAAGATTAGTGATGTCATTTTCTGGAAAGCTCTCCCCTCGCTCCGTTACCCGACACTAGATGGCGCTAGTGCCAGATGTCAACTTAGCCGCGCAACAATAATTACGCCATCCTTGTTTTTTACACTACATACTATGCAAGCTAGTGCAATACATGTAGGTGTAGTTTTTATTGAATTATCGGTCATAATTTGTTGTCGAAACGGTCAACTTCACGAGATGGTTTGACAGACGGCCCTTTTTGATTTGACATCGAACTCTAGGAGTATGGTGCACACTGCACATACGCAGGGTGCGCTTTGAGAGATGTTCTATTATTGGGTAATATAATTATTTTAACTACACTATTAGGCTACGTCGCAGTCGGATAAAGCGTCCAAGCAAGGTTTTTCGTTAAAAATCAAAATGTACAATAAATTGCCATATTTTATGAATCACGCTTTCTATAATATAGAATATATGAAATGTTCATTTTCTGACTTGCTTGACATGTAAAAATAATGTAAATGTATTTTGATTTGTAATTTTAATAATCTAATGTAATCTTATATCATTTGTATTGATTGTAATTTTGACATACCAATGTTATATTTTAATAAAATGGCCAATAAAAAAAGTAAAAGGTATTTGTTGATTCAGCCTTAAAAATATTGTTGACGTTATTATAAAAAATCGTGGCTATTTAGATATTATTTTTAAACGTGATTGTGTTTACAACATAAAAACAAACCAATCTAACTATAATTTGTTTTGGGACATGAAAAAAAGTCAAGTCCAGCTCCTATAGAAATTTGGCCATCTTCCTTTAAAAAATATTAAAGAAAATATGCCCGGTTGGCCATTAAGGTATATTAAGTCAAGATATGGAGCAAAAAATGAACATGAGTTCGGTTTATTATCCTAAGAATAATGTATATTTACAAAATAATCTTTAAATTTTATTATTTTTGGTAGATTGTTCTAGAAGAAAGTAAAATTATTGTAATACGTGCCCTCTGTTATCCAGTAACGTCACTATTTATTTACAAATATGTTAGTAATTGACGACGTGCCTAAAACCTATTTTAACCTTATATTTAGAAGCGTCACCTAATGGCAAATAGCTAAAATGTTTTCCAAATAAATATTCAGCGTAGTATTGCTATTTTTCGCTATATGGCTTAATACACGCGCGTGCTTTTTGTATGTAAATGTTCCCGATATACGCTCTATAGTTATTATATATTTAAATCTCTTTGATTGAGAGTCTATGGTTTACAGGAGATTTCGTCACAAAAGAAGTTTCTTAACCGTGGCACCAGTCTTTTAGAAATGTGACATTTGCTGTCAAATTCTATACTTAAAATTTTAGTCCGCATACTTTGCATGGGACTTCTTTCTTGAAACAGACTAGTTTAAACCTGAAACTGAGACTAAGAATAAACTACTTTTTGTAATAACACGGGGTATGTTTATTCCGTTAATGATCGGCTATTAGTAATGATTTTTTTTTTCTAACTTGCAGGTGCAATTCATCGGCATCATGATTCACGCATTCCAGTTGTTGTTCATTGAGTGCGACTACCCGCGCGCATTTGTATGGTGGATCGGAATGCACGCTGTCATGTTCTTCTTCCTCTTCAAAGACTTTTACAATCAGTCATACTCGAAACCTAAGGTAACTAAACTTTCAATTATTTTCCACTATATGTTTAATTATATGTATATATAAATAAGTGTATAATAATGTTATTTAGTCGGAAATGAAACGAAATAAAAATCGTAATGGGTGACTGCTTCCTTTTGAACTTCGTAAAAGCTATGAACCGTGATAATAAAAGGTTAAAATGTTAATCTAATGTGGTATCAATTTCAATTACCAAATGAAACCTCTTTTAAATTAACATGTAAATGCCCTCGTTTAAGGCCAATTTTAAATAACCTGTCCAAATTTACACCCATTAAAATAACTAAAGAGATATGGCAAACCACAAACTGATAAAAATAATGAAGTCGTAATCTCCTTTACGACTTATTAATTGAGAGTGAAATTATAAAATGGTTCCGGTGCCTTCGTGTGGTTTTAAAAATAACTTTCGGGAATCAATCAATCTCTTCTAGTGCTCTTTAATCGGTTAAGGTCTCGAAAAATCTCTTTTCGGATGACGAAATATTTTTCGCAAATGTTAGCTAGACCAATTATATTAGTATATAGACCATTATAGTGTCTAACATTTATCTTTATTATTTATTATTGTCTCTCCATCCAATCATGTGGCTGATCTTCAAGGCAAGAGTGACCAGGCTTTTGATAAGCTAAGTCACAGTTCACTTCCAAGTTTTTCTATAATTCCAATTGATATACGGAATCAACATAGTTTTTCACTTATATTAAATACAACTGCTAATTCTGACGTTATGATGAATTTTTTATTTCACTATTACATTTGATTAATAACGGGGGCTCACATTTGCGCAATACAGGATAAGATAAAGACGGGCTGTTTCCCGCAACTCCGACGGTCCAAGCGCGGATTTTGTGTGTGGGCAGGAATAATTTAATTAATAAATCTCCCCGAAGAAGTTCAACAGTCCTTTTACGTAGCAAGCAACTTCAGGGAATGTTCCCGGCGTGCCGAGATGTTTAGGCATGTATGCAGCGAACTCCGGACATCTCGGCAACACGTGGGCCGCCGTTTCTTCCTCCCCCATACATGCCCTGCACAGGGGACTATCTGTACTATTTGTAACACCCTGTTAAATAAATGTTTGTTAGAGGAGCCATGTCCTGTGATAGCACTTGTTACTATTCTGATTTGTGGTTTATTCAATCTCATTAGAACCTTGGTTAAACAACTGTTTATTTCAGGCAGGGCCTCCCTAGCTTGTCTACAGTCTTTAGAAAGTTGAGCATATTGATTAGTGAAGTTTCCACATACCAGTGACCGAATGTTACCAAAACGGATTGGTATGATTGGTTCTGGCCTATAGTGGCCAGAGCCGATCCTCTTCTCGCCTGTTGGTCTGCTGCATCGTTGCCTCTGGCACTACTATGTCCCTTTATCCATTGCAGAGTCACATTGTTGTGATTCCATACCTTATTTAGTTTTTGATGGCATTCATATATAAGTCCCAAGTTTACCACATTGCAACTCAGAGCTTGTAGTACCGCCATGCTGTCGGTCAGTATTCTGATGGAGGAGTCTTACCTTCCTAGTATCTATTGCTATTGCCGGTTGAATGATACCCATACATTCCGCCTGAAAGACTGTGTTATGGGGTATCCAGCGGTGTACATATGTAGATATTGAGGTCTTCCGAGAAAGTTCCAGATCCTTAATTTTTTTGGAACTATACTGAAAATTCTGAGTTCTTTTTGGTTTAAGCCATCCGGATGGTTAGTTTCATAAAATTTTATCTTGTATTTCTTATCAAATACAAATTGTTTAGGGATCTTATCGCATTTGGTTTGTAAGATAGGAATTTTGGTGTAAATTCTGTCAATTATATCTGTATGGGGAACTCCACTCTTACCCCATAGATTTTGGGTCTTGAGTCTAATATCAGCTAAATTCACTGCTTGTTGTATCTGTAGGTGAAGCGGGGTTAACTCGAGCATAGCTTCTGAGGCTGCTGTGGGTGTAGTTCTTACGCAGCCCGTGACAGCCATTTAAAGTTTCGTTTGTCTTGGTCCACCATACCTGACCACCGTATGTGATCAAGGGCCGAATCACGATTTTGTATAGCCACAGTATAATTTTTGGCGGCAGATCCCATCATTTACAAATCATTTGCATTCATTGCAAAGTTTTTTTTTATAGCATAGAGTGATAAACGAGCACACAGTCCACCAACACGATTTCTGCGGCCCATAGACATCTACATCTATCCTCGATTACGAATCAAAGTGCAAGCAAAAGTGCCTGTCACCCGTGAGGACTAAGATGAAATGCCTCGTTTCCAGTAAAAAGGGTCTCCGGTTCTCTACACACTATACGAAACGTAGCAGCATTAAGCTACTATTTTACGCTGGTATTCTGTAAGAGCATGGTCCCTCCCCGGTCGAGCCGACACATTCGTGCTACTACTATACTACTAATATAACTGACTCTACTACATATATCTGTACTTATACTGGCCTTGTTGATTTTATTTTCTATGTACTTATTCCAGTTCAGTTCATTGTCAAATATCAGTTTAGTGCCGGAGTGTTTATGCGTATTAGTCTACCGGATGATACACCCACTCTCCGGCAGAACCATCCCTCTTCTTTTATCTGGGCTTGGGACTGGCTTAGTGCAGTCAAAGTGCCGGAGTGTATATGCGCAAGCAAAAGTGTACTATCTTTGCCCTAACAAAAAAACTCATAGTCCAATGAGATGGCTATCCGATCATAAAAAATCTCAAGGTTTTCGGATAACATATAGCGATTCTAGGTCCTACCTTTTAGGATTAGCCCGGACAGACAAAATTTTTAAAAGTGGTTATGTATATTTTAGCATTCTAATTACAAAATGAGTCCATTAGAAGCAATTATTTCAATATTAAATGACTTATATTTCATTTTTTCCCTTTAATAAAATGTAGTATGTGTAGATCTATGTAGTTCCGTTATGTGATGTTACATGGCTTACCACGTAAAGAGCCACGCTGCAGCTATATTATGGTTGTAACACTTCGGCTTAATAGTGGTTCAATGCTAGTGTGTTTTGTATGGTGAGTGTAGAGAACCAGAAACCCTTTTTTACTGGAAACGAGGCATTCCATCATAGTACTCAGGGGTGACAACGCATCTGCATTTTGATTCTTAATCGAAGATAAATGTAGATGTCTATGGGCCACAGCATCTACTTACCATCAGGTGGACTGAGGAATTATTCCGTTTATTCACCTTAAGAAAAATCCACTCTAGGGTGGATACTCGGAAACGCGTGTCCCTCCACCCCAGACAGGGAGGATAGTCGGAAGTAACTTTTATGTGTTCTTCCGACTTTTCTTCCAAGTACAGTTCAACGCATACACTTTAATTATTAATTAGTTTTTAATAACCACAAACCTTATCAAAAAACTTATTACGGGTTTCCGTTACAGTTACCATTGCATTTAAATAATTAAATTGCTCATTTTAAATAATATTATTGCGTAATTTATAAGTCCCTTGCTCATAGATTTCTTAGCGAAGAATTGGGCGTTTTTTGCAAGCACTTCAAACCGTCGGTGGATAGACGGATACGCGTTTCCGACTACCACCCAAGGATGGATTCTTTAGGGTGGATAAACGGAATAACCCGGACTGAGTGCTCGTTTGTCACCACCATTCAAACACGCGCCTCTTAGCGCTGCAGCTCGTTATTGCTAAGCCACTGCGCCACCGAGCCGGCGAATAATATATTTATATATATATACAGCGTAGATTCAATGAATTAAAAAAAACGCTATTTTCTTTCATAAAATTTAAAAAGTTTCCGTCCAACACCATCCGTAAATTCATGGATACTCTATGCGCCCGAGTGACTAATCACTACTGTAAAGATCACCGCCCGCGCTAGTTACCTACACAACATTCCAATAAAAACACAATAGGTACACATAACCTGTGATATAACTTTTCCTTCATATTTTCATCCTGCCTTAGGACAGGTAAAAATTGAGGAATTAAGGAAAAATTAAGATTTTACTAAAAAAGAATGTTAATTTACATTGAATTTACGTTCTATAAGTGAAACCAAACCACTGGTTTCAAGGATAACGGTGTTTACACTAACACCTTGTATATATATATATATATATATATATATATATATATACAGTATAATCTCACTAATCCGGCACTTCGATAGATCGGCACGTCCAATAATCCGGCACCCTCCGCCCACGCCTCCCTCGCCCCTCTATACCTGTGCGCTTCGGTCGCTGCGTCATCGACGAGCAGTCTAACCTCAAAACTTATCACGTGCACGTGCTTACGTATTTGTTTTTTTTTTCAAGTGAGAATAGTTTATAGTTAAAAATGTCAAATAAACGCAAACACAAGACACTAGATTTGAATAATAAAATGGAGATTTTAAAGAAGTTAGATAGTGGAGAAAACATGTGCAAATTGGCAAAAGAATATGGTGTTGGGCGTGCTACTATACACGATCTTAAGAAAAAAAGGCAAAAGATAGTAGACCACGTCAAGACAATGGAATCGGGGCCAGGAAAGCGTAAAACACTAAAAGTTGGCGATTGTCCAAAGATGGAAAACGCTCTTTACATGTGGTTCTTGCAACGGCGTTCTAAACACACTCCTATATCTGGAGAAATTCTGAAAACCAAAGCAATCGAATTTTATAAAAAAATTACCCACAAAGATGATTTTCGTGCCAGCGATGGATGGCTGGATAAATTTAAAAAGCGATTTGGTATCCGTCTCTTAACAGTATCGGGTGAGAAATTATCAAGCGACGAATCTGCAGTACAGCCATTTATCCAGCATTTCAAAAACAAAGTAGAAGAACTGGGTCTTCTTCCTGATCAAATCTATAACGCAGATGAGAGTGGTCTGTTCTGGAGACTGTTGCCCAATAAAACATTCGTGTCTTCTACAGAAGCAAGTGCACCAGGTCGTAAAGTGAGTAAAGACAGAATCACATTCATGCCGTGTTCAAATGCTACTGGAACGCACAAATTGGATTTATTAGTGATTGGCAAAGCAAAAAATCCCAGAGCTTTCAAGAACATTTGTCTGCCAGTCTGTTACAAGAACCAAAGTAGAAGTTGGGTCACGAGAGAGGTATTTAGCGAATGGTTTCATAAAGACTTTGTCCCAGAAGTAAGAAAATTTATGAAAAGATCTAACTTGCCCATAAAAGCTTTACTCGTACTTGACAATGCTCCAGGCCACCCAAACGAACAAGAACTTAAATCAAGTGATGGGAATATCCAAACCATCTTCTTACCACCAAACTGCACACCTTTACTGCAGCCGATGGATCAAAACGTTATCCAAAAAATAAAGTCTTTGTATAAAAATAAATTGCTGATCCATATTATATCTCAGGATGGTGATATAACGCAGAGCCTTAAAGGAATGAATTTGAAGGATGTTGTATTCTCTCTCGCTCATGCTTGGAAGTCTGTTTCATCTAACTTAATCCAATCTTCATGGAAAAAGTTATGGCCCACAATGAATGATGTATCAGAAACAGAAGAAACAGATGAATGGGATCCTGAAGATAATATGCCTATTGTCGATTGGTTAAAAAATCTATCAGAAAAAGGATTGGAGACAAGTAAGGAAAATTTAAATTCTTGGTTTGAAGGAATCGAAGAAACAGAGCAAATTATGACAGATGAAGAAATAATATCTGAAGCAGTACAAGAAGAAAGCTTTGTAGAAATATTAGAGCCACCAACTACTACAACTGCTATAAGAGTTAAACCAGATAATGCATTGATGTGTTTCAATACGTGCATAACATGGGCAGAAGAAAACGGCATGTCTGCCAAAGATATTATAATTCTTCGCAACATGCGAGAAAAGATTTTTAAGCAAGGACTACAAGTTGCACAAAAGCAGACCTCAATTAAGGATTATTTTAAAACTACATAGTTAATCACATATGTACCTACATGTTAATCGAATACATTACATACATTGACTCCCTCTATGAAATACTTTATTTTATTCTTTACCTATGACTTTTTCACTATAATCCAATAATCCGAACATTCCAATAATCCGGCACCCTCCGGTTTTTAATAGTGCCGGATTAGTGAGATTATACTGTATATATATTATATAATTGCATAACGCGATAAAATGTTCCAGGTCCGGGCGAGGTCACCGCAGCCGGTGACGACAGACATCAAGGAGCTGTACACGAACGGCGCACTGAAGAACGGCTTCACGAACGGTCACTTTGTGCGCGCGCGCACCGTGCTGCCCGCTGGTAACTGACCGCACCCACCGCGCCCGGCCACTAGCAGCCGGACAGTGAACCTCCTATAATGTTACTGTGAGAGAACTCACTCGAGTGTAATCAACGTGGACCAAACTTTGTTCAATTGTGGACTGTCTTTTGGTTAAGGTTAACCGTTTTAACAACTTTCAGTTGACATTTTATAACTGATATGCATGTATAATAACATCCAGGCATACACCATGTTTTTGTAACAACTTTTTATTATTGAATTAATAATTAATTTATACAGAGGATTCTGGTCTCTATGAAAATTCTAAATTTAAATTATTAATTTGTTTCTTGATTTATGTTTATCTGCCAGGTTTTATATAATAATATCATAAACCTTGAAAGAAATTAAAAAAAACTGGTCCAAAGTTATTTGCATTCCAAAAAACTTGTACTATGTTTATAGCCTTACAATTCATAGCAGTATATCTCTAATAAAGAATATACTTGTATGTCGAAAAACTTAATATTCCAAAACAACTAAAATCAAGTTACCAGCTGCTTATATCTAGATATTTTTATTACGTTATAGATATAGGTAGACAAACTACCATAGATTCTCGGTTGCTTTTAGTCCAAGGGGATATCTGGTTGTTTTATAATACTTAATTTTTGTATAGCCTTGAGTGCTATCACTAAACAATAATCCATATATTGGAATTTCAATGGACAAAGGGATAATACTCCCAAAAGTACATCTTGCGACTCTTCGCCGCAATTAACTCTAGAATTAACGATAAATGTGATTTTACCTAATGTATATATTAGAAGGTATCAACGGTGTAAATTTTATTTTATTGATACAGACATAGATAGATTTGTGATCGCGTAGCGTTTTGTACTTTTATTATATTATATTTTATGTTGCTTTTAGAAGTTAGACACAGAAAGACAATACATACAGATTGTTCCAAAAGGTGCTTTTAATGTTCTAGATAATGACAGATATAAAATATAAATGACACTACACCACAAATTTTTATTACAGTTTGTTAAAATATAAAGAGAAGTCTAGCTAAAATTAAAACATTGAGTAATTGTGTATTCAGTCCAAAAGTAACTTTCATTTTCTAAATTTTATTATTGTTGGTATTAAAAAGAATTATGAAAATGATATATTAATTTTAGGTCTAATGAATCTGTATCCACGTTGCAAATTGGCCAATGTAAATAAATAATTACTTTCATTTTATACTATAACATACTCGGCTTATTGCAAATAAAAATAACAAATATTTTATTTATGTACTCTGTTCCCACAAATTGTTATCATTGGCCCATTCGCTGTGAATGCAGCTAAACAGTATTTTAATTTCACATCAAATGTTTATAGAAAATGCTGTTTTAATGCAATTTAGATAATTATCATGGTTGTGTTGATTTTTTTAAACTTATATTTTATTTATTCCAATGCCTTTATTATGGAACTATCCCAAATCTGTTCACGTTTTGTGACCATTTTGCATTTTCATGGAATTTTCAGCAGAATTTAGCTTACAAAGCGGTACCAGCGGCGCTTTATACTTACACACTTTTTACAATAGAAAAATATACAGTTTTAATATAAAACAAACATTTCGAGTTATTTTTAACCTTATTTTTATTGGTGTACTTCTTGTTCAAATCATGTTGGTATATTAGTTTAGTTTCATGAAGATAAATTTGCAACCAAAGTAAGGCAGCTAAGGGATTATAATATAAGCATTATTAGAATTTTTTTCATTGCAATAAAATAATTAGGTTTATTTATCTTAATTATTAACACTTGGAAAATAATTGTAATTATAAAGAAACGAGTTAGCACCCAACTGTCAGTCTTCCGTTTTTGTACTTACCGGAGTTTGAAGGTGCTTTTTGTACTCTGAACAATTTTCTGCTAATTTAGCAGTGATACGCTAAGCTCGCCATTTTGTAAATATACATGTTATTTCGTTAGATAGTAAAATCTGTGTATTAATGCAATTTTTATACAAAAATTGAAATAAACTATAAATATAATCTGTTATTTTATGTGCCAGTATATAATGCAATCTATGTATTATATATCCCATACCAACCTAAGTTCTTTCTTATATCCATAGTATATTTCTCAAAGCATGAAAAGTTATTCCCCTTTAAAAGTTATTACATTTTTAATTTTGTACTGAACGAAACTGATCCATTCATATAGGTCTCATGATTAGATCTTTAATTTATACTGCATAATAGAGGTCACAGTATGAAGTTTCCATGTTAAATGGAGTGGCCACTTTGAATTAAACAAAATTACAGGGTAGAGCCATGCTGCAGCTATATTAGTAGTATATTACAGTAGATGTACGGTATACCACGAATGGGTCGACTCGACCGGGGAAAGGAACACGCTCTCACAGAATGCCAGCGTAAAATAGTAAATTAATATTGTTAACCCTTTGAACGCCAAGCGCAGCGCATGGGAAGTATGCTCTCTACGCCAAGCCTTTTATTCACTATTAAATACATACAAAATGCTAGTGATGAGATATTAACAAATATCGATAAACCTTCATCAGTGCTACTGCAATAGATATTCCATATATAGGTGTTAAATTTATTAAATAAATGTTATAACAATAGCATTAATTAACCTACATGAATGAAATAATCAAATTAAACTAATTTCACAATTAAAACTTCTCTAAAACAAGTTTTTATCAAACAAAGCGCATCCGTTAAATGAGATTGACGTCAATACTTGTCGCTTGAAAGCGTTAATGGCGTATGGCTTTAAATAAAATACGTTTATTTCAAGGATGTAATAATAATATATAAAATATAATAAACACGTTTGTAGCAAATTGTTGTACTACGAATTTATACGGAAAGTCACGGAAATTCATTTTCGCCACGGCAACTCCTGATCGTATTTATGATCTGCCCATAAACATATGATCTTTCTTCAGGCCTTATTTTTTCCAATTCAAATGCAACAAAACTAGCAAAATATTCGTTTCTAATATCTGAAGGCCGTTCACAGATAAATCTCGGAGGTTGGAGTGCATCGACATTCACTTCTATTTCGAACTCGGATGTTCGTTTGTGATTGACGAAACATTCTTCACACTGAGTTGCCTTTTCAGCAGTTTTCTTTCTTTTTTTCGGCAAGTTTGAAAGTAAACTTGGAGACAATGGTTGAGACTCTTCTATAATCTCCTCTTCGAAACTTTTCAAATTATCATCTTTGTTGGCTATAGTTGACAAACATGAGTCGAACCTTTGAGTACAAAATGTTTTAGTATCATCAGACGAATACATTTGGCACAATTTATATTCTATTAACTTAACGAAACGAAATACTAACACGAAGTGTAACACGGAGTAATCTAATCCTCCATAAACCATAGACATAAAAATACTCTAGTGTAGTAGAATATTGGAAATTACAATCTATCGATTTGTTTCATCCTGAAACAAAACCGATCGATTTTATTTTTCCGACTTTTATCCCGAAACAAGGAGTTGGGCATGGGAATGGTAACATAATTTTAAAAATTTTGTACATATTCCTCTTTATTTTCCGTAACAATTTTGAATTTATATTACACAAACAAGTAAGGTACAAATCCTACCTTGAATTACACAATCAAAATAAAGTAAGAAAACTAAAATTACAACAACTTAGAGATATCAAAAAATGACGAAAATGAATTATTTTTAACTCTATCATGTGTACAGTTGTTATTATTATTCATTGAAATAATAAAGTAAAAACTTATGTTAAATACCTACCTAAGTACCTCCTTATAAAAATACTTGTTCTATATCTTTATCTAGGTACATATTTATATACAGAGCTTGTTGTATATAAATATGTACCTAATTAAAGGAAGTAGGTAAGTTATATTATTTGAATCTTTGATCTTGGTGATATTTTTTGAAGCACAAAACACACAAATTAACTTTACAGACATTATCTGTGTACATTGTTACCCTTCTACGATTATTATGCGCGCAATATTTACATCGCTGTTTTCGATTATTTTGTATTGGCATATGATCTGCAGAATTATTGGACAGCAACCGCAATGGATTATTTATATTTGCTCGCGGAACTGTAGGTTTTGAGGATACGCCGGGATTAAATTTCTTAATGATTTCTTATTAGATGTAACTGAAAACTACTAAAACGAAGATCCGCGTTATTTTTTAATATTTTTGCAAAATAAAAAGAGTTTAGTATGAGCATATCAACTACATGAAAACTAAACTTCTTATTCCACTTCATACTTTTTCTCATACAATGCAAAGATTTGCAGCATCATATCGGCTATAGCTATCGTTCCCATATTAGTATTATAATCTACAATACATTCTGGTTTTAAAACTGGTAAACCCGATTCTCTATCTTCCCTTAAACACGGTATGAATGTATGATCGTGCATCGTTGAAAGTTTTTTGTCATACCATTGCAATGCCATCAAGGGTGGACAATACTTGGCACAAACTTCGCCTTTTTTATTTTTTAAAATTTAGGCATGCCTGACCTATTTTTGTGTACTGTCCCACATGCGACTATTCCCTGCTGATATAAATATCGGAACAACTGAGGGCTACTGTACCAATTATCGACATATAATCTCCGATTAGTGTCCAAAGTCTTGTAGTAGAGTAACCACAACTGCCCCACTTACACCTAAATTTTGTTGATCTATAATAGGCGTTTCCTTGCTGGCATAAACAATAAAGTCAAGTATGACTTTGGATTTTACGTCACATAGAACAAACATTTTAACTCCAAAGCGATTACTTTTTTTTGGCAAAAATTGTTTTATGATCAATCTTCCCTTAAAAGGCACTACACTTTCTTCTATACATAGGTTGCTATGCGGAATGAATGAATTTTTGAGTTTATTGCGAACGTACTCAAGTTTGTATTTTTGACAATTTAGAAGTATCTGAAAATTGGGCGTCGTGTGGGCCAAAATGTAACATGCCTAATATCATGAAATATCTATTCTATTACGTGACATTAATTTCGAAAAAATCGGAGCATTTAATAAAGGGTTGACCAGTGCTCCTCCATAGATAAGTGTTTTTTTCGCATAAATAACATTGTTACAGCAAATAATAGGTACATTTCCGAAACAGTAACATCGTACCATTTGTGTAATCTTGAATATACCTTTAAAGTACGTGTTCGTAAAAAATGTTGGTGGTATTGATTAGTGTTAATTACTATTTGATTCATAAGGCCTTCGTCAAAAAAATGTAAAAATATATCTAACTCAGAGCAGTCTTCATTAAGCGACATTAATGTGGCAGAAGAAATTCCAGAACTGCAGTCATCAAAAGTTTGAATAACTGGCCTTGAAGATGTGTTAGACCATATAAATTGCTGACTACCATCCCCGTGCGATGTGTGAGATGATGCCGACTCTGCCACTGGATCTTGCGGTCCTGTCGAAACTTGTTCAGCCTCGTAACGCTGCGATTGTTGGCCTTCATCCTGTTACCAAAATACGTAATAAATAGATCGATTGTACTTTATAAATTTTAATTTAAGATGCACAACACTAATTAAGTACGTTTAGACTCCAAGAAAATAAAAAGGAGTTAATTTTAGGTTAGTATGGACAGTATCTACTAACCTCTAAATCCAAATCCGTGTCATGCTCGTATTCAAAGTCGTCATTATCACTGTCTAATATGCGTAGCAGTTCATCTCTTGAATAATATTCACTCATAATTAGATAGTTTTCCGGAAAATAAATTCATCCAATCGCTATCGACGCCCAAAAGCGACGACGGCCTGGGCGCGAATGAAGGATGATTCCAAATTATTGACGTGACTACTTGATGACCATAGATAAATCGATGTTTTAAATGTATGTAGGTTTTAACATTATTAATTTGATTATTATATTCGTACGATGTATATAAATCGTATTAACAATTAAGTATCACTAATTCCTCAATGGACGCATTTTTTGTAGTTTTAATCAATGTTTTATTTCAATTAGCACAATCTTCTTGTAAATTGTAGAAGGTTAAATTACCCCCATCACTAGTGTCGTTTCAAAGCGACAATGGCGTCAGGTGAACGTATATTTTGAGGTCTTATTTTCGCCTAAAACAAGTTCAAATTTGGAAAGAATACTATCAATATCAAGCTTAACTTTAGTTCAATTTAATTAAGTGACATACGGAGAAGACGATAAAATTAAAAAAATATAGTCTTTTTACCTATTTTCTATAATATCAGATTATAAAGTAGCATATTTTTTTGTCACCTAAACTCGACGTTGGCGTTCTAGCGGCCGAATACGTTTGTCGCTTGTAAGCGTCGTTGACGTTCAAAGGGTTAATATGACCTTAATAGGTTGACTCGTTCTGAAGTTGCTAAATCACTAACAAACGCAACTACAATTATAATAAAAAAGTAAAATAAAATTGAACTCTTATAGTTATCGATATGCATTCTTCAGACTAACTTACGCCAATCAATATGTAATACCCACATCCATTTTCAAAAAGTGATTTAAATGAATCCTAGAGTGATAATGAACCACAATAATTTTTATATATATTTTTTAAACCAAATAGTGCCTTAAAAATTACTTTCAATCTATCGTTTTAAATTTTCACGTGAAAACGCTAGCCGCCATACTGTTCAACTCATGACGTCACTATCCTCGAATATTGTTGATTTTGCAAAGGAATAAGATACTTTTATGAGTTATTATCTAAATCAATGTTGTGCCTGAATGCAAAAATACGAGCATAAGAACGCCGTGGAATTTATGGATTCAAGTGCCAACTGATTTAAATATAAGAAATACTTGGTTAAAACTGGCAAGAAGATACCCGAATACAAAAACTAAACTATTCTTCTGTGAAGATCATTTTGATGTAAGTATGACTTATATTTAAATATCGTTTAGACAAAACAATACATCATGAGGTGAAGGGCATAGCAAGTTAATTTTTATAATAAATTACGTTAACTTAGATATTATAATTACTGATTGCTAATTATTGTAATTATAGATAAACTAAACTATGATAACTACTAAACTATGTTTTATCAAAATACACATTGACCTGTTATTGTTTTTTGTATAACAAAAGTTGGTAATAGGTACTTAAATTGATGTTTTAACATTCCTCAACTCAGCAGAACAAAAATTTGGCAGCAAAAATTTTGCCACAGTCAACTTATTTATCCTTGGTTAGATTAGTCTGCTTTTACGAATTTGTTTTCCATGATGCCTTTGCAATTATTCGACACAGCACATTAGCTGGTTCTCTTAATCAGTGACACAGAACACTAATACCCTTAGGTGGGATCAGTGACGTCACGACATGGGCTAATATGGCGGACAGCGTTGTGCAGATTTGAGGGACAAACAAAAAAAATCTTAAAAATGAAATATCTATAAAATTTATAATGCAATTTTATAAATAGAAATCAATATTTTTCGTTGAGTTTTTACAAAATCTATCATAAATATTAGATATGGGCCGAATATTCGTTTTATATTCGGTATTCGGCATATTCAGCAGCTTTACCGAATATTCGGCTAATACACCGAATATTCGTTAAAGTGGTAATACCATGTCGTTCATAATATGGTTTTGGTATGGTTTTGAGGCACTGTAGATATATTTCCAATTATAGCAAATAGAAAGCTTGATAAATTTTTGTTTGGAATCAAAGATTCATTACGTTACAGTCGTCACTTTTTCTAAAATAGTTCCAAATAGTATATTTCCTGCCACTCATTTTCATCATTCACTAACAATAACACAACGAAATACTTATTTTCTCACAAAAATAGTCAACCCATAAGCATGTGCCGGCAATTTGCTCAGTACTATATTTAGATTTAGATGATGCAATAACATATCAGGTGTGGCAGCGAGCGAGGGGAAGGTTCCGGCGCTACCGCGCGTTTTACGATAACAAGTATCGACATAAATTAGTTAGGTACCGAGGTAACCCTGCTGAATAATGTTCGGCCGAATATTCGCATTCGTTGAAATTCATATTCGGCCCATCCCTAATAAATATATATTTTTAACTTTTTTACATGGTGTAAAATACCCCATTTAACCCTTAAACCCTACCCGGGGGGTCCAGCAAACCCCAGAGGTTGAATATTTGTAGATATTTTTGCAATAACGAAACGCACTATTGTGCCACTCGAGCTAATCTTTAATTACGTCGTCGGCCATCTTTCCACTAGTCTAGCGTCAACGCTTACACAGTTTAGACGGAATTATAGCTATTTATGGGTCTGTCAGACCCCAGGGTAGTAATAACGTAGTATTTTGTCATTTCTTTTTGTCGATACATTGGTGAATGCAGTTATTTTTGATACAATATTTTAAAGGGTAAGTTTAACATTTGATGTATTTATTACAATAACAATAGTGTTTTTTTCTTTAGGAACGTATATGAACAAATCTAGCAATTTTGTTGTTTCGTTTTAACAGTTTATTCAATATTGTGTTTTATGTCATTGTTATAGTTTTAACGATCAAAATTGCGTAAGATGGACCTACAGATCACTCAGTGGTTGCATGAAGACCAATCAGAAGACGAAGAGGCATGTGAAGTCGCTGTTCCTGACCTTGAAAATGATGTTGACGAAGACGGAATTATTGAAGACTTTCGAGCAAAACATCCAGATGATGAAACAGAAAAGTAATTTTCTACGTGTCTTACCTGTCCCTAATAATCTGAAGGGCAAGGACGGGTTTAGGTGGACAGGTGAAAAACCAGCAAAGTCTAGAGTCCCACGAAGAAATATTTTGTTTCATCCTCCTGGACCTAAAGCTGCAGCTCGTGAAATAAAAACAGAGCTGGAAGCATGGAGTATTTTTTTTCTGATGAAAAGCTTGAAGAAATTGTAAGAAATACAAATGCTGAAATTGGTAAACAGAGAAAAAAATATAAACGAGACAGACCTGTACAGAATACGGAAGACGAAAACGCGGACGCATCGAGTTCCACAAAAATACGTCCTTCTTTTGCTAAGGATGCAAGTGTGGTGGAAATGAAGGCTTTATTTGGACTTTACTACTTAGCAGGGGTACTCAACATGAATCACGTCACCACCAAGGAATTGTTTGACAAGAACTCAGGTGTTGGCTATTTTCGTGCCACCATGAGCCAAGCCAGATTTGAGTTTCTGACAAACTGTCTGCGTTTTGACGACCGGTCTACCAGAGAAGAACGCCAGCAAAATGATAGATTTTTTGATCACATTGTCAAAGTTTCGAGTGAAGCATATAGCCCTTCAGATTGCTGTACATTAGACGAAATGTTATTGGGCTTTAGAGGTAGATGTATCTTCAAAATGTACATTCCGAGTAAACCAGATAAATATGGTATAAAAATTTTGATGACTTGCGATGCTAAAACTGCCTATATGTTAGATGCTTTTGTATATTTGGGCAAAGGCTCGTGCCCTACAAATGTAGCAGCTGCTCATTTCTTTACTTTGAAATTGACTGAAACAATTCATGGCACAAACCGCAACCTCACTTGTGATAATTGGTTCACGTCAATACCGGCAGCAAAAGAATTGTTGCAAAAGCAGGTGACCCTTGTAACCCTTGAAAAGTAGGTACACTAGTTAGAAACAAGAGAGAAATTCCACCTTCTTTTCTTGAGCTAAAAGATCGCGATCGCAACACGGCAAAGTTTGCCTTTACAGGAGAACTTACGCTTTTGTCTTACTGCCCCCCAAAATCCAAACAAAAAAAATTGTCCCCATGTTGTCAACTATGCATGCAACAGCAGATCCTGATGCAACGATTCAAGTACCAGAGATGATAGAGTTTTATAATAAGACTAAATGCGGAGTCGATTTGATGGATCAGCTATGCCACAAGTACAGCGTATCTAGGAGATCAAAAAGGTGGCCAATGGCAATTTTTTTTGGCCTTCTGAATATAGTAGGTGTTAATTCATATATCCTGCTAAAATGGCCATAAAAAGAGTTACAAAAAGACGTCATTTCTTGAAAAAACTTGCCATAGATCTGATCACCCCACAAATGGAAGAACGATTAACATGGCGCTCTTTGCCCATGAATCTTCAAGTTCTCTTAGGTGGAATCTTGCAAAAGAAGCGGCCATTGCAAGAACCAAGTTCTGATCCCACTGCTAAAAAAAAGATGTGCAATGTGCCCAAGGGGTAAGGATCGAAAAACCAAGGTCACCTGTGGCATGTGCCAAAAACCTCTTTGCGGTGAACATACTGAGGCCATGTGCCAAGAATGTGTTACCAAAAACCATTAACAATTTTTTTGTATTGTCTAATAAGCAGATTATTATAATAAATAATAATTGTAATTAAATTGTTTTTTATTTTTTAAGTATGAATTTTTATATAGTGGGGTCCTTAAAACCCCTCGGTAGCAATAGTATTTCTCCTAGAATGGGTAGGGTTTAAGGGTTAAATAAATTGTTACTCTTGCAGTGCCATCCTGTGGCCGAAATCTAAACACTAGCATTTTTTCAGTTTAATAGGTATAATAAACAAAAACAAAAGATATGTCTAAAAATATAAGTATTTTTACAATAAGTGCAACAAACAAAACAAATATCTTTATTTAAAAATATATTTTGTAAATTCAGAAGACTAGTTCATATAAATAAATTCAGTTTAAGATTGTAAATTCATAAAATAATGAAATCATAGTTGATCCACTTACTTAAATGCGAGTTTTACGTAAGGAATTTTAAGTACAATATCGATATTATATCTAGTAGGTATACATACACAATTCTTACGATTTAATTACGCCGATTTAGCGCAACGGAATCCTAGATTTCCCGCTGAGCTGTCCTCAGTGTTATGAGACCGTGCCGAACATCTATAGCGGTAACAATACGAACGATGACATAAATACGAGCCTCCCTTCTTCACTTTCTCTTTAGGCTAAAACAATTTAATTGTAATAACTAAGTACATTTATTCACAAACATTAACCGACTGACCGAAAAACCGAGCTATAACGACTTCATTATGTCATATTTCCCTGTTCCCTCTGCCAAAATTATACTGCTTTAAATTTGTTTTATAACTCTAGGTAAGATTGTGGCAATGTAGGTATGTATATTTTTTCTTATCTCTTTATGTTCGTTAAATTTTGTCTAGCGGTATTAAGTACTGGGCAGTTTTAGTATTTTAAAAGGCTCCTAGTTTTTTTAATAGTTGTCAACTATTAAAAACTATTACATAATTTATTCCTTTTAAATTTTAAAAGCTGAAAGCATAAACAAATTTACTTTATTACAAGAATAATTGACGCATTAAGAAGGTACACGCTAGATAGGCACATTACCCCCCCCCCCCCGCACCGCCGCGTCATACGAGTATACTAGGATAGCTGTTGATAATGTCGGGTTTTATGCGACAGAACAGTATATGAATTGAAGGGTTAAGTGGACAAAGGTATTAACTTACAAATAGTTCTATAAGAGTAATGAGCCTTTGAAAATAATAAACAATCAAAATCTTATAGTTTTACAATACAATATTAGTACCAATAATTAGATAAGATTCAATACTTTATATTTTTATTAAAATAGGTTATTCTAATTCTAAAACATATTACGTTTTGTTAAGAAGAACTTACAATGGCACAAAATGTAGTAAAATAATAAAATATCATCATTTATATGAAATAATTTTATTACTATTTTTTTTATAATGTATATATAAGACTATTTATTAATTATTGAGAATTTAAAATATTTATGTAAACCACTGAGACTCCTGCTCAATATACTTGAGTTATGTTCTTATATCACTAAGTTTTTCTTTTGGAATTTTACCCTTGTGATTCATCTGATATCTAATGGACACTGTTTAGATAACATCACTTTTTTTATGATGATGTGTAGGGGTCATAGTTTGTATTTTAATTCTATTTTACATGAGCAAATGTAAACTATAGCTTATAACACCTTTGTTTATTTTTTTTTCATATTTAATCATGTTATTCTCACGAAGATGAAGATTTATTGATTGATACTACCTTACCTTACCTTACTACCTTATATTAATCTAAAAGTAGCAACGAAAATGGTCCTCTAATATTTCTGCTGATAGCACATTTGCAAATATTAAATATACACTTGATTGGCAGTTAACACCTTTGCTAGCGTCTGTACCTACATAACAAATATAAATTGACATTTTTTAAGTTTATGAATTGATTTATCATCAGTTAAAACCTATGTTCATGCAAAAAAAGTCGGATTTTTTAATTTTGTCAGATAACACCTTTGTCCACTTAGCCCTTCAATTAGCATCTCAATGTAATGTAGAAAAGGTGTAAATGAAGGAGATGTGTTGTTGGTCCTAAAACTTTAATTTTTTTATTCGTCCATAGTCTATACTTTGACACTGATGAAATGTGTCAACGAAATTCCGAGTGAACTCCTATAGGATCTAGCTCGTATGAGCGCACACGGTTTGAGATTACTCATATAGTGAAAATCCAGCTTAAACATTCTCTAAAATCCCATTTTTATATGTCTTAGAGATGAGATGTAGTGATGGATTGTCTCTGACACTGCGATCAAACTGCATTTATTAAAATTATCACTGATATGAATACCCTGTGTTGTTAATAACATAAGCTCGAAATAGCACTTACTAGTACTTACATTATCATCAGACCAAGTATCTGCAGTCCACTCCCAAACATTTCCAGCCATGTTATGAAGACCAAAATCATTTTGAGCAAATAAATGTACAGGATTTGTACCAATAAATCCATCCTTTGCTGAATTATAGTTAGGAAATGTGCCCTGCCATAAATTGGCCCTATAAAAACAAAATAATGAAAAAGTTAAGAAATTACATTTAAAAAAAAACAACTATTACACATTTTTACATACTGTCATTTATTAATTAGTAAGGTGTCAGCCCCTTTTGCCCACCTCATCAATCCATCTAAAATATCTTGCATAGTAGGAAGTGTTGCATAATCGCAATACTTGGCTGGTAAAATAAAAACATTGAAGATGATTGTGGTTAGTGAACAAGTCTGTGTTTTACAGGTAAGTACTAAATTACAAACTCATTACTATTTTGACCATATGGCAGACAAATCATAATGATGACTGATATATAATTATAAAATGTCACTAATTTTTTTATAAAAAAAAACTGGCCAAGTACATATCACGCCACACACAATGTAAAGGTAGGGTTCCATAGATGCCTGTAACAACATGTAGGCTTACTTGATAATGAACATAATAAGTGATTTTGCAGTTTGATTGCAATAAAGACTAAAAATGGGCCCAAATTCTTCGTCTTCACATGCCAATCATTCACATGCAAAGTCCAAACAAAGATGGGCATAGCAAAGACTACCTATCTATATATTCTCGTCAAGTACAAGCCTAAGATATATATGACTGTATCAAACCTTCCCATATACCACCACTGCCCTAAATTACCCTGAGGGTCACCCCCATACACCAAAAGTATGACGAGTGAAACTGTATGAGGCTATATGATTGTATGAATACTTTGAATGAGACCTACAATAACTACCGACTAAAAAATAAGCGAAAGTAGTAAGCAAGTAAGAATGATTTCACCTGTCCTGCAAATTAAAAACTAAAGCTATAGTAGTAATGCATATAAGTTGTTTTCTTCATAAAAATTTTATTTCTTACAGTTTACAATAACATTACAAAGTTATAATGCAGCTAGTTTTAGGTCAACTATTACTTGTTAACTTCTTTTTAGCTGTGATAGTTTTCCTTTTAATTTCATTATATATACTACTATCGTACATACTTTCACACTTCCAAAAATAGCATTTTAGTAGGTATAGAGGGGGGGAGGAGACACATTGATGAAAATACCACTTTAAAGCTAAATATTTCGCAAACGGACCCCTGAATCAAAAAGATGCTCTTGCATACAATGCAATAACATTATCAACAATATCCCCCCGTGTTACAAACAGACCTATCCAATGATACCCCACACGATGGTATACATGGGTAAAAATAATATCATTTACCTTCCTTCCGAGGTTCCTAAATGATTTTTTTTTTGAAATTTTAATTACTTACACAGTTTTGTAGGCGTGATTAATATCTATAGCTATGCCAATATACAAATTTGTAGCACCTAGGGTCTCTGAGTAAAACTGCAGACGGAAGGACGGACATGGAGAAACTATAAGAATTCCTTGTTGTGTAACTACGGAACCCTAAGAAGGATGAAGTTTATCTTAAACAAAGAAATAATAGCTTCTTTTGTATATTATTATAAAATTTATATAATACATAGAATTTTTAATATGTACCTACAATAATTATTTATTGTGAAATTGTAATTTAATTTATTATGATAAATGTTAAACTGAATGATGAAATAATTGTTATGACTCACATGTGCTTCCTGTCTGGAAATAGTTTGTCCCCCCATGGATATTTAGTATCTCTATGTCCACCACGACAGGCAGCTTCCCATTCAGCTTCAGTGGGCAAACGTGCACCTCTCCAATTGCAGTATTTACGAGCATCATTCCATGACACATGAATTACTGGATGATCCATTATATCTAAAAAAGTTACGGTAAAATACTCAATATGTAAGTACCACAGCTGAGCTCACACCTCTCCTTTCTAAAACACATATTTAGAAATATTTTTTGTAAAATCATTGTTTCTCTTTTCATTTTCAATTTGAAACTTAATGAAATGAAAAAAGGACTAAAAAAAGACAAACATACAAAAATTCAAATACAAGAAATTCTCCCTTTATTCCCTATGAGAGAATTTCATAGAATACAGTATGGTTACAATGTTTATTATAAATTTATTTATATTTTAATTACATGAACCCCAAAAATTATTCTACTCCTGATACTCTGCATTCGTCACATTCCCTTGAAGTTTAGTTTTCAGAAGGTTTCGTTTCTAGCACATTAGACCTGCACAAACTTTTATATTTTACTCAATGCTGTTTTCCTCATAATGATATCCCTTACCGTACACATGCTAAATTAGCACGTAAAATTTCAATTAACAATATCATTAGTGCCAGCAAGGACAGAACCAGGGTTACATACTTTTTACTGCGCACTTACCCCGGAGCTACCATGGCTCATATATAATGGAGAACAATTATAAAAACAATAAAATTGAACTGTCCAGTAGGAAACGATGAAATTAACAATTCTAAAACTTATAAAATATACTCACCAGCAATGTCAGAATCTGGACCATAGGGATGCTTCCAATCTGCACCATATATTTTATACCACCACAGAGCTTGCACAACACGAAAGTCCTTCATTTTATCTTTAAACGTGTTGTTGAGGAACAGTGAAAATACAAAACTATCTCCAAAAGTCTCTGCTTCAGTCTTATAGTTTGTTAAAATGGTAAAATAACTAAAGTCCCTGTTTGAAACTTCATATTTGTCTAAATAAAATGGTTCTAATTTAATAATCCTCTTCGGTCCTTCCTTATCATTTTCAATAACTATATCGTCTGAACCAAACTGATATTTATTAGCAGGTATTAAAACCATGTCAATTGTAACATTATGCTCTTCGGTGAATTTAATATTACTATCAGCAGGACATTTATCGTCTTCACTTTGTAGATTGTTAAAAAATAACTTACTATCAAAGTTTACTACTTGTGTTCGATCAACATTGCAACCACAACTGCTCTCTTTACTTTCAGTTAAATATAACTGCAAAATACACAATAATAAAAGCCTAGCTAACATTTTTCTACTCTTATCAAAAATCAAAACTAGAGGTAAATACATAGATATATAAATATGAAAAATATAAAATATGTAGGGTAATAACTAAATACTAGGCATGTCGATCTAAAATCGATTAATCGAAAAATTAAAATTATATTAAAAAAGAAAACGATTTTTTGGAGTAAAATTATCGATTTTTTAGATCGATAATCGAAGCACCGCATCGATTCACTGAATCGATCCAAAAACCTATTGAATCGGACTGATTCATTTGATTCAAGAACTAGCTGAAATTCCCAAACTGGCTGGGGTAAGATACCACAGTTTTTTAATTTTTTTTAATTTTTTGCTGTTGGGGGACGCAAAAACAACCGGTCGTACTTGGTTGATAATTTGAAAGCAATATATAATTTTTGAATAAAATAAATGTTTATAAGCGCATCCAACAATACCGAAAAGTTGTCTTTTCATTTTCATTTCTAAAATTCTTAAGCCCACTTTCCACTAAGGGATATAATGTAATTTATATTACATCTCGAGATATAAATTAATATCGCTCACCGTACTTTTAAATAAAACCGTTTCCACTGAGGTATAATATATATTACATCCCAAACTATAAATATTTTTTCGATCGACCGAGCGTTATTTCATATTATATTTCACCTCCTGTGCTAATGCTATAATGCTATAATATAATATTATAGCTGTGAATGTTCGAACTGTGAACTTGTGAATTTACATTATTTTTTATTATCAAAAATATACATACTGTGAGCTGTAACTACAGACAGAGTACTTTTTAAATACCTAGATACTGTAAAAAATATTATACCGTACGTTGAAGTTTATAGAGGTTTACAGTAAGGAAATAACCAGTATTGTGTTCGTGTAGCATTCATTTCAATACGATAAATAGTGAGTTATTAAATTGAAACAGATTTATCGAGAAATGTAGTTTGCACTTTTGCAAAAGTATTGTTGTTTTTAGCCCAAAATGTCAAATAAAAGTGTTACGTGGGATCACTTCGTAAAAAAAAAGGGATCGAGTGGAGTATGTGCGAACCACTCCTAACACAAGCGTTTCAAGCTTACCAGGAGTGGTTAAAAGGAATATTAGTAATGTTAATCAATAAGATTACTAATATTTTATTTAAAAAAATATTACAGTTTAGAAGTTAAAGAAAAAAATCGAAAATTCTTGAAATTTCATGTTTGAAAATGTCGCGATTAATCGAAAATCGATCTTTTATTCCTCGATTTAATCGATAATCGATTCAAGTACCTTCGATTCAAATCGATTAAGAGATCGATTTTTTAAGAGTGAATCGACATGCCTACTAAATACCTATCTAAACAAACAAATCAAATTTCGTACCAATATAATTATTAATTGTGGTTAATATAGCGCATAGCGCCATATTATAGCGCGCTATCTCTTCATAACACATAGCGAATGCTATGTAAGTAGTCTGTGTCTATGTACGCACCATGGCGCTAGTAATAACATTTTTGACCCTCATTCTACTACATCATGCAAAACATGACGATATATCGTTTTTTATCACGCGATAATTAATAGACGCAGCCCACACACTTACACATACACAACACGTTTCGATACTGTTTAAAAATATCGATACTATAAATATCGTATATATTTTTTCCCTTCCCATCCCTATACTATGTCAAATTTAGCTTGCTAATTTTGACAGCTCACGCCTATGAATATAGAGGTTTGAGCATGTAGGTTAGAGAACAGAACGATCGGTACGTGCTAAAGCATAGCCCGCCTGTCCCTGAAAATTTGTAGAATTTATAACCGCGATGCCGACGGTTAGTACCTAGTAAATGCGAAGTATTTTTTTAATTATTGACAAAAAGAAACATTATAAAATGGTGAAATATTATTGAAAATAATAATAAATCAATAATAATTAATAATTATTAATAATAATATGAATAAATCATTATTATTAATAATTTATATTTGAGATATTTATAATAATGAAAATTATAAAAACATGTTATAATTTATTTATTAATAAACAAATAATAACTTAGTTTTTTCTTTTTTTTTCGTTGAATGATATAATCATTTCAAACTAGCGCACAACAGCCCGCTTTTATTGAGACAACTTAGCGATCGTAGCGCTTCACTTATTTTGTCCATATTTCTGGAACACTTTCTAGAGCGATCGTTCTCCTGTTCTCTAACCTCTACTGGTTTGAGAGAAGGAGAACGATCGCTACGTACATGGAGGTTAGAGAACAGGAAAACGATCACTACGTATCAAAGCATAGCCTGCCTGTCCTAGAAAATTTGTGGAATTTATAGCGGCGCTAGTCGGTGAGTAGTGGCTGCGAAGGTAGCTGTTTATGAGTACAAGTAGATGAAGTTAGTTGAATAATGTACAAATTTTCTTCGCGGCACTGATGAGAAAATTTTCACGCTCCATAATTTTTTAAATTTTAACAAAAAGAAACATTAAAAAATGGAGAAATATTGTATTGCGCGTGGATGTGCAAGTGGTTTAGCATCGGATCGGAAAAATAGACTAAAAATGACTTGAAATAGTTGAATAATGTACAAATTTTCTTCGCGGTATTTGTGAGAAAATTTTCATGCTCCGTATTTTTTTAAAATTTTCGACAAAAAGAAACATTAAAAAAAGGAGAAATATTTTATTGTGCGTGGATATGCAAGAGGTTTAGCATCTGATCGGAAAAATAGACTGAAAATGACTTTTATTGAGCGAACTTAGCGATCGCAGTGCCTCACTTATGGTGTCCATATTTCTGGGACACTATTTTCTACGGCGATCGTTCTCAGTTCTCTAACCTCCACGGTATAGAGCGTTAAAGTTGCATAAAGTTGCACTCCTTTGATGTCGACTGCTTGCCGACGTATAATATTGTACATAATTATTATTAAACAGCTAAATCGTGCACGCAAGCTAAATAAAACTTTGTCGCTGCGCGTGAGTATTCATATTACTTTGCATCTTTTCCGCTTCCTAAGTCTCTTCAGCGGATTTTCCGTGGTTATTAAGGGATGTCAATAGAAAGTAATAAATCATCATCATCATCATCATCATTACAGCCCTTCACAAGTCCACTACTGAACATAGGCCTCCTCCAAGTAATGCCACAAAGCATGGTACTGAGCCACCTGCATCCATCGACTTCCTGCATGTCTTACCAAGTCGTCATTCCATCTAGTGAGTGGTCGCCTTACACTACGCCTACCGGTACGAGGCTGCCACTCGAGAACCTTTCTTCCCTATCGGTTATCGGTTCTTCGAGCTATATGGCCGGCCTATTGCCACTTCAGCTTACTAATCCGTTGGGTTATGTCGGCCACTCTGGTTTTACTGCGGATATCCTTATTTCTGAGTCTATCACGCAGAGAAACTCCGAGCATAGCTCTCTCCATAGCTCGCTGAGCGACCTTAAGCGTCCTCATACGGCCAGCAGTGAAGGACCACGTCTCAGATCCGTAAGTCATCACTGGCAACAGGTCAGATAATGTCTGATTATAATTATATCAAAAGATTAAATAGTTTTATTATTCTTGACACCAATATTATTCTTCTTGAAAGTATTTTAGAAAATAGTTCACAATTATGACTTCTTATATTTACTCGAAGACTACACATTAATTAAACTAATTTTACGGATTTTATCGCGTTAAATTTTGACTTTTGAATCCCGACGTTTCGGTTACTTTACAGTACGAATTTTAATATGGTACCTTTAACAAAATGCAGCACGTGCTGAGGCGGCGCGGCAAAAAATACGACCGTATGTAATCGAACAGACTGTACGCCAAAGAAAATTAAACTAAAACAACGTTTTTACCTTGTCGGGGTACGTACCTTGGTCAGCGATGAAATGAAAATTAAGCAGTTGATGAAATACCATGCTAGCAGCCAAAGGCATTATGGCTATGTCTACTACGGGTTTGATATTATATACGATAATTTCGGTGAAGCTATTGACGCGTTAGGGTTTTTATTGCTCGGTATAAACACAACGTGGAAAGTACACATAGCCAACTTTTTGATTAAATTTGAATTAAAATATGAGTTTCATCAGGCTTTCAAAAGCTGGCCATAATTTTATTTACTAATAAAATACTTCACTGCTAGCTGCATGAGGAAGTTCAAAGCCAATTAGCGAGCTACGGAGACGGCTATGCTCAGGGTTTTTCTGCGTGATAAATATAGAAATAAGGATATTCACAGTAGAACCAGAGAGACCGACATATCCCAACGGATTAGTAAGCTGAAGTAGCAATAGACCGGCCTTATAGTTCGTAGAATTAACAACCGAGGGGGGTGAGTGGCAGCCTCGTACCGGTGGGTGAAGTGCAGGGCTATCCCCCAATAGATGGAGTGATGACCTGGTAAGACATGCAGGAAGTTGATAGATACAGGTGGATCAGAACCGTGCTTTGTGGCATCCCTTGTAGTGTTTGTAGGTAATGAATGAAAAAATACTAAAAATCGCTTTTATTAACGTGATACGTAACCGAATATGATGATTGGTTTATCGATAGAAAATATTGACGTAGTCCTCGTCTTACGTTGCTTACGCATGTAGACAGCGGCACCAATGTGTCGACACGTGTACAATTTGATGATATGCGCCAATGCAATGAACACAAACACAAATGCTGTAGTGTGCGTGTGTAGTGACGCGATTCAATTTTGCATTTGTAGTGAAGTATACAGTGTTTTTCTTGCGCCCCCTGACATTGATAGACTTTTTTGTTTAGGAATTTAACGCGCATGGCCTCTCCAGTTGGTTTA